CAGATGATCTAATTCTAAGCCAGTTTTCATCTGCAAGCATGCCAGAAGAAGAGGAGGAAGAGGAAGAAAACTATGAGTCTCTTCCACAGATATCTATAACAGATGCTTTGGAGAGTCTATATAAACTCCGGCTTTTCGAGGAGCAGCAGGTGGATGGAAATAAGGCCTTAATCCAGCAACTTCTCTTCCATGAGAGGACCCTTTTGAGAAAGAAGGTTAGCAGACAGCAGCAGAGTGATATACGAGACTTCTTTTGTAATTAGATGACGTCTATATATATATTTATGGCAGCAAGCTCGTATAATCCGATATAAGCAATACTCCGTTATAAGCAATTTCCGCGACCTGCCGAAATAGTTGCTTATAACGGGGTTTTACAGTACATAAGTATCACATGGCCCGCCACCGATGGCCGTTCATCTTCAAGTTGCTTTTGTTTCTTTTCTTCGATCACTTTCCTCCCCATTCATTCTTTCGCCTCCGGGTTTGTGCTATTTGATTTTGCGTTATTGCAGGGACGAGGATACACCTTCTACCTTCCTTTTTGTCTAATTTTGCTTCAAACAACCATATTCGGATTGTTCTACTCGAACGAAAACAGCAATTGCATGAGCACAGCACAACCGATTATTCGCTTTCCTCACCCCCTCGAGACCATGTCTGGTCCTCCTGACGCCAACGCGAACGCAAACAGCGGTACCGGCAACTCGCGCCCCAGACACAGACGTGGTCGTGGCAACCGCGCCCATCGACACAACAACCAACAAACCCAAGCACCGTCATCTCAGACCCCGGACGCCCAACCGCAAGCATCGCAACCGTCTCCATCGGCGAACGGTGAAAATTCGACAGCGAATAACCCCGATGCAGCTCCCCGTCAACGGAGGGGTCCGAGAGGTGGGGGTAGAGGGGCAGGTCGAGGTGGACCCCGTTCGGATAGTGGTGGTGGTCGACGACGACATGGAAGGGGAGGTGGTGATGCGATACAAAAACCTAGGCGGGTTGGAATTGGTGGACGGACGTTTGAGGGACGATTGACGAGACCTGAGGGGGGTGCGGAGGATGCGGAGGATGCGGATAATAATGAAGGATTGAGGGCTAATGCGCCTACTTTCGTGCCTGGAGCACCGCCGAATGGTGAAGGACCGTCGACCCCGAGAGATTACGAATCGAAAGGGAAATCGAAAGCGAAGAGCAACCCTCCGCCGCCGCGACCGAAGGTCACTACGAAGTCTGTTGCACCTGATATCGCCACCCGGATTCACGAAGATATACTTCACAACCTTTACGAATGTCCGATCTGTACCAGTGAATTGGGTCGGAGATCGCGCGTTTGGTCGTGTGGACTTTGCTGGACGGTTTTCCACTTGAGTTGTGTTAAGAAGTGGTCGAAGAATGAAGGCTCAGCGGCACAAGATGCTGTGCGTCGACAACAAGAGGAGTCTACCGGGGAGATCGACACACCTCGCGCTTGGCGCTGTCCCGGTTGCAACCTTGCTCAGGAGGTGTTTCCTTCGTCTTACTCGTGTTGGTGTGAGAAAGAAGTCGATCCGCGTTCACTACCCGGTTTACCTCCGCATTCATGTGGGCAGACCTGCTCGCGCGCTCGTAAGGGATGTCCACACCCTTGCGATTCGATTTGCCACGCCGGTCCCTGTGCACCATGTACGGCTATGGGCCCAACGCAAGATTGTTTCTGTGGAAGGAACTCGTCTACGAAGCGTTGCCAGGATACCGACTACGAAAAGGGGTGGAGCTGTGGTGAGATTTGCGGCGATCTACTGCCCTGCGGAGAGCATACTTGTTCGAGACCGTGCCACGAAGGTCTTTGCGGTGCTTGCGATGTCAAGGTGGAGGCACGTTGCTATTGTGGAGATGTGCAGACCGAGATGCTGTGCAGTGCTAGAGATGAAGAGATGGAGAGCGAGAAGCTACGTGACGATTCTGGTGAAGTTGAAAGTTGGGAAGGCTGCTTCAGTTGTGGAGAACTCTGCAGCCGTCCTTTCGACTGTGGTGTTCACTTCTGCCAGAAAAGTTGTCATCCGCAAGATTCGCAACCCGCACATTGCCCAAAGTCACCTGACGTCGTACTTGACTGTCCTTGTGGAAAGACGCCGTTGACGGATATACCTGGATATTCCCCGCGAACGACCTGCGAGGACCCCATTCCCCGTTGTCGTGAAGCGTGTGGTAAACCTTTGCCATGTGGACATCCATGTGAGAAACTTTGCCACACCGGTCCATGTGGTGTTTGTATGCTCCGGGTTCCGATTTCGTGTCGCTGTGGTCGTAATACCATGATGACTGTTTGTCATCAAGGCACTGTCGAACAACCGCAGTGTTTCCGCCAATGCAAAGCAGGCTTGCACTGTGGTCGACACTCGTGTGCTGAGCGGTGCTGTCCTGGAGAGCAGAAGGCCCTTGAGCGACAGGCCATGCGACGGAAGCTGAGGTCGCATCTCCGTCCAAGCGACGAGGACGTGGAAGCAGAGCATATCTGTACACGAGTGTGTGGTCGGACGCTGAAATGCGGAAGACACACGTGTCCGGAGATCTGTCACAAGGGGCCGTGTAACACCTGTAGGGAGGCGATTTTTGAAGAGATCCCGTGTAACTGCGGGCGATCTATCTTGCACCCGCCATTGCCCTGTGGAACGCAGCCTCCATCGTGCTCGTTGCCGTGCGAACGGTCCAAACCCTGCGGCCATCCCCAGACACAGCACAACTGTCACACAGATGACGAAAACTGCCCTAAGTGTCCATTCTTGACCGAGAAGATGTGTCTATGCGGCAAGCGGACGATGAAGAATCAGCCTTGCTGGTTGGTGGATGTTCGATGTGGTCAGATTTGCAACGAACCGCTCAAGTGCGGCTCGCATTCGTGCAAGAAAAACTGCCATCGACCTGGCGACTGCGAGGATTCAACTCGACCTTGTCAGCAGGCATGTGGGAAGCGCAAGACGCTGTGTGGTCATCCATGCACAGATGCTTGCCATGCTCCTTTCGCTTGTCCGGAGAAGACGCCCTGCTCGGCTACGGTCACGGTAACATGTGGCTGTGGTCGACTCCGCCAGGAGCGACGCTGCAATGCAGCCAAGGCAGTGGCTTCTAAGGGACAGGTACAGCAACCACAACGACTGCCTGCATTGACACCATTGACTTGCGATGAGGAATGTTCACGTCTGGAGCGAAATCGGTCTCTAGCATCCGCGCTAGGAGTCGAAATCAACCAATCTACCACCCTCGCCCAAAATGCTCTTCCGTACTCCTCCGAAACTCTCGACATGTACATCCAACTTTCGTCTTCGGCGCCGCTAGCTACCCTCCAGACCTACGAGTCTACTCTACACTCTCTAGCAGCATCAATCAACTCCACAAACCGTTCTGTCCGCTTCCAACCCGCCAAGCCCTCTCTCAGGGCATTCACCCACTCCCTCGCAACGGACTGGGGATTTGCCACGGAGAGCTTCGACCCAGAGCCACACAGGCACGTTTTCGTTCTGAAACCGGCGTCGTGGAATCCTCCCGTCTTCGGATTCGGTAATGGATCAGTCATCGGTATCGGTGGCATGAGCGTTGGTGAATGCGTTAAGCTTCGCGAACGACAGCGGCTAAAAGAGCGCGAGGCACAGCGTGTCGCAGCTGCAGAGGTGAAGGCATCGCGCGAAGCTGCCAAGGCACAAACTCAAGGCAGCGTGGATGGCGGTGGTTGGGCACAGGTAGCTGCTTCACGGAAGAGTAATCCCGGCGGTTCGCCGTCTACTCTGAGTCCGAAGACGACGTTTTCGTCGGGGTCATATGCTGCGCTTGCCGGTGGTGATTTTGGTGCTGGTGCTGGTGCAAGTGCGGGTGCGAAGAAGGAACGACTCGTTTTGCGCTCTGGTGTTGGTACTGGGAAGCAGTTGCAGAGTAAGGTTCAAGAACCTGTTGCGGATAGCTGGGAAGAAGAGGAGGAGAAGGAGGAAAAGCAGGAGAGGAAACTCGAGGGTGTGGATGGCGTGGATGGAGCGGATTGTGCTGACAGTGGCCATGCCAATGACGCTCAAACGCAAGAACCAGAAGTTGATGCCAAGGGGCAGGAGAGGAAACTCGAAGGTCCAGGAGCTGACGGTGATGGTCATGCTGAGGAGCACAAGGATAATGGCGATGTTGAGGTTGGAGTTGCGGCTTCATGAAGTTGAACTGGGAGTCTTTCGTTATGATAATAGATGATTGAATTGCATGCTAGCATTAGCGAGGTGTTGTTCTGCTTGCAAGCATGGCATGGTATGCATAGTTCGGATAGAAAAAGTTACGTTGATTCTGCACTCGTTCCTGTGGGAAGTACTCCGTACCGTGTAGCTGCTGATCCAAGAGACTACCTAGTGGGATACGGGACATGCAGCGATCAGGTCACGAGGTCAGTGAGGCTACAAACACCTACCCCTTATGCCTATGCTTTGTTAACCCCGAGCATGTCTCATCCTGCTCTGCACATCCCCGAGGCAGCAGTATTCCGAGCTGCAAATCATCACATCTGCGCTCATTTCTGTACAAACATGATATGATGCGCAGCAGATCTCAGCCCGCCCAGCCCAGTTGGACAAGCAAGGCAAGACAGATGGGATGCGAGCTTAGCTGTCGATACTCATTTCGCGATCCTGATCTTGATCTCGTAACGCGTACCCCTGATATTATAGAGTAAAAAAAGAAAACATAATCCACAGGTGCTGACCATTCGAATATCACTGATTTACAATGACATTGCATAACATCGAAATATGGGATGTAAACCGCATTCTCAGCAAGTCAAGCTTTCCAAAAACCGCTAATCAGATCCGCATGGACGGAGTGAAACACCTGGAGAGTACGCATCTGCGGTGTGGTGGATGAGGATGGGGATGGGGATACTAGCATCTCACCTCTGTCTGTTGTTTGTTGCTTTTTTGACAAGGCAAGAAAGTGACATCCCACATAGCGCGGATATAAAGTCTGTTTTCGAGAATACGGGCTCTCCGTGGTTCCCACCTGCCGCTGCCACTGCCGCTGGCGGTGGCGGTATTAATTAGACATTAGACATCAGGTAACTGGTTAGTTGGTCGGTGAATCCGACTATCGTTATTACTGTGAGCCTTTAGTGGTGCGCTGGTTGGTTGTCGTATGATTTAGTGAGCTGATCTGCATGTCGACACTTATGTACCTAGTACAGGAATGGAGTAGTGTAGCTGATACATCAGCTCATTTTGTCTGAAACAGCCGTTTTCTAATATGGAAAGCACCGCCAGCTGCCAGCCTTGCCACAGGATGCATTAGTACGGCGTACGGTGTACGGCATACTGGGATGTCGGTGGACGGTGGATAATGCCAGATTAGGATGCAAGTCCGCAATTAACGGTTTTGCTTTTGGTTACGGAGTACATTTTCTTTTTTTTTTTGCTGGTAGGTATCGGTGCAGGCGAATTGAATCGGACACGCCACGCTCAGTGCATCTCGAAGGAATCGCACAGACAGGAGTGCTGCAATTGCAATTTGACTGTTCGTGATTGGATTCACAGTGAAAACATCCCAACAGAATAGACACACGACTAGACAAATCGGGTAATAACGGCGACAAAACCAAACCAACGCCACACGGACCATCGGCTATAGACGAGCCACTGGAGCTGGAACGTGTCTGATGTCTGGGCAGCCGATAATCGGCGCTGGTACCAGGGTTGATAAGATTGATTAGATAGATCTTATCATCGGTCAGTGGCAACAGCTTGGTGGATTTGGGATATGTTTGTGGTAGATGAGAAAAGATCCTGTAACCACGGAGTTGTCACGGCCCTTCTGAAATGTACACTCCGATATGACACGCCATGACAATCCACGATGGGAGTTTGCTCCGGGGAGAGGCGTCGGGGTGAGCCGTCATGCTCGGGTCCACCGAAAAAGAGGGAGAAAAAAGAAAGTTCGCTGACTTAACTCTATGCTCGATGGTAATAATTGAATCATCTAATGATACGACTCTTTCCATGGAATATGAAATAATGTGGTCAGCTTCCATTATTATTGGATTATTATTGTTATGTACAGTACCGCAGTCGGCAGTAAGAACATTGCCTAGACATCTCCCCACCTGTCCAGATTCCCGGGCCACTCCGGACATTGCTTCAGTCGGACAATTGGCCGCGTGGGATGACTGTACTTGTACAAACATACACTGTGTACAATTTATGTTGTAGAACATCGATGGAAGATACGGATTAGTATTCTCCTCACTGTGGTTGGTGTTTATCTGCCTATCTTTCTACTAAGTATATACTCCGTGGGATACAAGAGTGGTTAGTACATAGTGAATGGGGAGAGTCGATGATGACTACTACTGGCTCGGCCCACATGACCCAACCTATCCAGTGGGGGATATTTCTGAAACCACCAATCAGACACTCAAAGGACTAGATATCCGCTGCTGATTGGCTTTAGCACGGAAGTTATCTGATCCGCCGCCCACTCTGTTATCTGATTTAAATCCGGTTTTCTTATTGGATGGATACAAAACAAGACCCACCGCGCGTCCTGCGGGCAAGCAAAAATTTGTCACGCTAGTCTCGATTCGGTACTCACTCCACCGACTCGTCGTAAGTGAAATATACAAAAGAGCGAGATCCCCCTGCCCCGATCTTCTGATCCTCTATCCATACTCTCCCTCACGCCAATTGTGCTCGCCAAGACACTGATCTGCTTGATCTTCTACTACCACCATAGGTCAACATGGGTGTCTTCGATGTCATTCGGGGTCGCAAGGACAGCCACATCGTCGAGGACTTGGGCTACTCGGAAAGCCATGAGCCCAAGAACCTAGGCGATGGGCCAGAGATCCCCCCAGCGGAGAACGATAGCAGGCTCAGTTTGGAGGAACGCAATGAGAGGAATATCCAGCTGCATCCCGACGAGGTCACCAAGGAGGCTCATCTGGGTGTGCAAAAGGCCGAGGCGTCGGCTATGGTCTGGACTAAGCCTGCGCTGTTTGGGACTTATGCCTGGTAGGTCACCTACCTCCTATGATAATGAATGAGACTAACAGGTATAGGATCTGGGTCTGTTTCTTCATGCTGGCCTTTCACTCCTCCATCAACAGCAACGTCATCAACAAAGCCTACAGCAGCTTCTCCTCCGCCCCCCAAATCAGTACCTCCAACATCCTGTACAGTGTCATCGGTGGTGTGCTGAAACTCCCCATCGCCAGGACTATCAACATCTGGGGTCGTGCTGAGGGTTACCTGGTTTTCATCGGTGTCTACGTTCTGGGTCTGATTATTCTGGCCGCCTGCAACAACCCCGACTCCTACGCCGCCGGTTACGTGCTCTACTGGATTGGATACGATGCCATTTATCTGATTCTGCAGATTTTCGTCGCTGATACCTCCGGTCTGCGGAACCGTGCTTTTGCTTTCGCCTTTGCTAGCACGCCTTTTATCTGCACTGCTTTTGTTGGTCCGCGGGCGGCTGAGTCGTTTATCAACATGACGAGCTGGCGTTGGGCGTATGGTGCGTTTGCTATCATTCAGCCTTTCGTCTTTGCGCCGCTCGCTTTTGTCTTCAAGTACTATGAGAAGAAGGCAGAGAGAATGGGTTTGTACAAGCGTGAGCCCAGTGGTCGGACCCTCTCGCAGTCTATCGTCCACTATATCCATGAATTCGACGGTACGTCCCCTTCCTTCGTCTTTGAGAGATGTATGCTAACCTAACAGTCGTCGGTGCATTCCTGTTGATGGCCGCTTGGGTCCTCCTCCTCCTCCCCTTCGGTCTGCAGCAATATGGCCGCTCCACCTACAGCAGCCCTACCTTCATCGCCATGGTTGTCGTCGGATTCTGCCTGATGTTCGTCTTCGCCGCCTGGGAGAAATGGGGTGCTCGCGTGCACTTTGTCCAATACGAACTCCTCAAGAAGCGCACCGTTCTTGGCGCCTGCTGTCTCTCCGCCGTCACCTACTTCAGTTTCTACTGCTGGGACCTGTACTACTACAACTTCTGCCTGGTCGTCTACGACCTCTCCATTACCCTCGCCGGTTACATGGGTCAGATCTACAACGTCGGCTCTTGCTTCTGGGGTGTCGTCTTCGGTCTCTGGGTCCGCTACACCAAGACCTTCAAAAACACCTGTCTCTTCTTCGGTCTCCCCCTCCTCATCCTGGGTGCCGGTCTCATGATCCACTTCCGTGGCCAAGGCGACCACGGCGACATTGGCTACGTGATCATGTCCCAGATCTTCATCGCCTTCGGCGGCGGCACCCTCGTCATCGGAGCCGACATGGCCGTCATGGCCTCCGCCGACCGCGAAGGTGTCCCCATGATGCTTGCCCTGCTGGGTCTCTTCAACAGTCTGGGTGGATCCGTCGGCTACGCCGTCGCCGCCGCCATCTACGCCAACACCTTCCCCGATGCACTGCTCTCGAATCTCCCCGAGTCCACCAAGTCCAAGTTCAACGACCTCTACACGACCGGTTACACCGAGCAGATGAAGTACCCGCCTGGCGATCCTACGCGTGAGGCTGCGAACCTGGCCTGGAGTACGAGTCAGTACTACGGTGCTATCGCTGCGACGGCGTTCTTGGGACTCGCGATTCCTTGTATCGCGGTGTGGAAGAACTACCGCGTCGACAAGAAGCAGAACAAGGGTGTTGTTATTTAATTTCTTTTCGTGCATATTCCTTTTCTTTTCTCTCTATTTTCCTTATTTCTCTCCACTACTGATGAGATGATACCCTCTTGGGACTCGCAAAAGCGGCATATATATTTTTTTTCTTTCTTTCTTTGGTTTGCACGTGCACTTGCATATAGAGGTGATGAGTTGGATTTGGATTTAGATTGGATATATTACCACTTCCTGTACAATGACCCCGGGTCTATAGAGTAGACCGGACTGGCTGGACTTGACTGAATAATAGCTTAGCCTGATGGCTTTGGCCTGATGGCTGATATGTGGCCGTTAATAATATTTATTTCTGTGATTTCGTGTACGAGTAGCATGTTGTATGCTGTACCACCACAGTGCTGAATAAACCTTGGCTACTACGGTCTAACGTTTTAAGTCTAACTTTATGTTTATCGTGATCTCCTCGTAGCAAACACTCTGGCAGATGGGTTGTTATACGTCAATCGATATACATTCCCGTCGAACTGATCCCGGGATTGAGTGAATGCTCGCAATGCAAGCAAGCTAATTGCTCTCAGATAACTAGAGTAGCATAAGTGAATCCACTCTACTCTGAAACAACTCTACTTCGAGTCATCGGAGAGAATCCGACAATATATATCGTCTATTATTTCTACAAACGAAGTCAAGCCAGAGCAGCTCTTGAAGTCTTAAATCTCATGAATAAGAGATTTCCCACGCTAATATATACTCCCATAACCGGGTAGTTGATGGGGCTTTACTGTCCGTGCCTTGGTCATTCTCATTCCAATCATATACAAGAGAAAGCACAACACCCTCCACCGTACGATCATATACTCAAGGATCCTAGACATGATCAAATTCCCAACTTCCTTTGTTATGCCTTGACTCGAGCCAGAGTTCTATTTTCTCTTGACCGCACACTGCTCCTCTACGACTCCATCGACGGTCTAGAAAGATTCATCCTGAATCCAACAAACACTAACTCTACATTGAGCTGAATAAAGACCTGCCATTCAATCCATCTATGGATCACAACAGGGATACTCGGCGGATGCCCTACTAAAAGACCCACAAAAAGCAACCCTTACAATAAGCTCAGGCACATGGCAAATCTCGAACATGCGCAAGATAGTCTCTTTCGACATCACGCTATAAAAATCCCGGGGAATAGCAGGTCACTGTTGGACTGGATCCCCAGTAAGGCGGATCATTCCAATCACTATACAGAAGAAAATACCCCCCACCATATTCCATCTGGAGGTATGGTTTGAGGCTCGAGGAAGGGAATTCTGTCCACAAGCAAAATGACCGGCCGACCTATAACATTCAACGAGGGCATTCGCGATGGCAATCATATCGTATCCTCGGGAAAGATAGTGAGGTTGCGAATCTACGCAAAACGGAATCTTTTACAACAGGGGCCTATTTGTTTACAAGGCCTGTAAGCCTTGTCGGGTCAGGTCACGTCACGTCCTCGAGCTTTATGCTCCCCACTACACTCGTTGCACTGCACCATTGACAGTGACCCCTATGAGGCTCACAAGCTCCCCAGGACCTCCCGAAAGAAATACAGCAGCCGCTGGCGCTGTGATTCGTCTTGGTGTCTATTGATGATACGATCTATTCGACGTATGACATAACGAAGGGATTCTTCCAGCGGTTTATTTATTTACCCATGCGGATGTTGAGAACGGGTGTTTAGCACGCCGCGTTAAGAGGCGTCAGCTGGAACTGAGCTAGACTGTCTGAATTTTTAAGGCTATGAGGAAGCTAAATTCCACAATATCAGGTCGAAAAGTAAGGCCGAGCATCTGAAAACCAGGAAATCTAGCCTGTTTATGCAGAGCGGTGCAAATGGAGACTGTACACCGAGTACTAGTTCTTGTGGATGGTAATCCTCGAGTAGGCGGGGTTCGATGAAGAGGAGTTGCTGGTTGTGTTTGGCTTGATATATACATACATATATACGATGGCTCTGTCACCTATACATGATCATGCTCGCAGGACTGATGCACTATATGCAGCATCTAGTAAGTTTTGCTGTGCTGCGGCCCTGGGTCCTCACGACTTGGCTTACTGTGATATCTGCGTGCGTTGCATCCGACATGGAAAGAAGGTGAGTGCTTTGTCCGCAGTCACTAGCTCTGCAAGTGCACCTATTTTACAAAGGGTAAGAAGGAACACCCATTACCTGATGCGTCTCAAGACACTGCAACCGCGACAGCGCTCTCGTGCGAGAAGTCGGCATCTAACTATATGCAAGCTAAGCGCAAAGAGGGGAAACAGTTAAAAGGACAGATCATATCTGGGAATAAATATAAACCAAGATAAACTCATCGCTGATATTGAAAATGCGTGGGCTCTAACCTTTCCATCAGACGTTTCATTAATTGTGAGATGAACACTACTATTCCCACAGCCAGTCACTTGACACGGCTTCCACAATATGTCTACGTCCCGAATTGCTCAAGAAAGCACTCCCCCACCCAACTGTCACGGTACAAATACTTACCCAGAGATCCCAAAAACCATTCGATTCCCTACCGAGCGGGGAAAGGGAAAGCCGGCGCCCGATCCGGAGCAACATGATGGCCCTAATGATGCAATAACTAAGTATTAATAACGACGTCCAGACTATCGCTTTCTAGTACCCAGTTTCGAAAATGCGCAAGATACACTCTCCTTTTCGACTACATAGTTTACCCATTATTTGGACATGATAAAAGGTTTCTTCCAGCAACCCATCTCATATCCAAGCGTCGCTGAGCAACCGGACTTGTCACTACATTACGGCCATAAACACTTCATAGTTGCAGTTCAGCCTGTGGGGATCAAAGCCCTGCAAGGTTTCAAGAGAAATCCCTCGTTAATCGACCAATGGAACTGACATTAATGGAGATGCTGTTGGCTGTTGCTTATGGAAGACATATACTACGGCGGGAATTTTACTATCTGTAAGGTAACCCGGCATATAATCTGCCAGGCCCCCTGTATCTTTAGATATTGCTGACAAGAAACAGGAAATCAATGATCATGCTGCTGCTAAGGGGGGGGGGGGGGAGCTTCCTTTGATTATCATTTCTTCGCATCTTGTTTGGCAGTGGACCACTGAGTTTGCAAGCTCGGGCAACCAATTTACTCACTGTCAAGGTAAATAAACCCATACCTACGTGGCAAAGACACTATCAAAAGAACCCCTGGATGATTTGGATCAATCAACCATGCCAGTACTAATCTTGCGGAACCGGCTCACTTGGTCAAACTGGAACAGGTATTTGGCTTGAAAGACAAGTACTCAAGAAAAGAACACCACTAGCTGTCCACGCACACATACTGGTTCTTGTGGATAGTGATCCTCGAGTATGGGGTTTCGATGGCGAAGAATAGTCGCTGGCTGAGTCCGGTTTGGTATATCGGTGATATTATCATTTTTAGCTGCTCATTCTCTCCGAGAAAACAGAGCCCTTTCCTTCTATCCATTAGCTATGAGAATCCTGCTCTGGTGATTATTAGACTCCAGATTTTAGGACATGACGAAGGGATCTTTTCAACACCCTATTTCCCGCTGGAAACCAGCATCCAGCACCTACAGTGGAGGCCATAAGCTAACCCGTATGAGCTTCCGAGCCCACTTCGTCATCAAGAGACCAATTTGCATTTACCACCAAGGCGAAAGATGAGGTTGGACATCGCAAAAGTAGGAAACTGAGCCTGTCTACGCAACGCGGTGCCAGTGGAGACTGTGCACCCTGTACTGGTTCTTGTGGATGGTGATCTTCGAGAGGTCTTCAATGGGGAAGAGCAGTTGCTGGTTGAATGGGCTTGGTATATACATATATATATCGATGGCCTGTCACCTCTAGCTGCTCACGTACACCAAAAGACCGGTGCTCCATGTGTAGCATCTGGCAAGTCCTTGCTACTCAGACTGCCATGATAACTGCGGGTTGCCTCGGACATGGAAAAGGGGATTTCGATTGCTGTATCTCGAGCCATAAAGACAGGGTATGAAAAGCCGTGAGATCATAAGATCTCAAATCTCGAATCGAATGTCGAACATCCCAAGGTCTTTCAGCCATTACAAGACTCACGCAGTCTGGATTCCCTAGCCAGCATCGAACGGTTCCACAATCAGTTGCTATAACTTGACTAAAGGATTCTTTTAGTGGCACATCTCGCAAGTGACTGCTTGGAACGAGCACTATTTGCCTTTAATAGTGGCTATGAGAAATTTACACCGGTCATTATCAACATATACTTCGTGAACTCATCATCAAGAGATCAATTTACACAATGTTAAGACAAGCAACAAGTCTGGACACCTTGGAATAAGATCACTTGACCTGCTGTTACACATCAATGTGCCAATGGAGACTGTACACCGCGCACTGGCCCATTATAGATGACCCTCCTCGAGCGAAGGGGGTCTCTATGACTAGGCGAGAGCAAGCGTAAGATAGTCGCTAACTGAATCCGGCTTGCTATATCGGTGATATCGTTAGGACCTAGCAAGCCAATTCCTCGCCATAATGAGTCTTACAAACGGTTTATTGTCCATCCAACTGCAGGAATGACATTGCAAAGATTTTCATTCAAGACCAAGATTTTCTATGATAGTAGGTGTTTACGGATGGATCTGAGTTGATTATTTCTCAACATATTCAAGTCGGAGATCAGTCTTCAAATTGAGCTTGGGTATCTTGAAACAGTCATGCCATATTAAAAACTAGCGAGAATATCCGAGAAGAGTCAAGATAAACTCGACGCTGAGGAAAGTATGTGGTGTTCTAACCTTCCCATCGCACCTTGCATTAATCACGAGATGAAAACTACACGAAACATATTGTGGTAGAAGTCAGGAAGCGAGGTCCAACTGTTGGGGTATATGGGTATATGGGTATATGTCACTTCAAGACTCTTGCAGTTACCCTTACTTTTGATAGTTGAAGTGAGCAAGGTACTTATGAATCATTTGCGACGCCATGGCGTACACAGCGCAAATTTTACATGCGAGAATTAGCCATTTCATGGTTAGTGGAGTGAAAAGAATGCCTGTGTTCTGCAGTTGTGCGTCTTGCTTCTTTCTGGGCCGGTCGTCCACAGTACAAAAACATTCCTAGACACGACTAATACATAACAGAAGGTCAGCAAATGCCCCTACCAAGCGGCGGAAAGAAAGTGCGACCCAGCAGGTTAAGCAGTTTTGGATAATATGCTATCATAAACCAGGATTCATCAATGCTGTTGCGGACTAAGAACAAGGCCGTCTCCCATGACCTGGATTTCGATGCATTGAACAGTTATGCTTATTGCCTGACGCTTACAGCCACCTCAACGCAGTTGCTTGAATAGAAAAAGTATGTCTTTAAATATGCCCCGGATCTCCGGCGCAAGTCTGATTTTCTTTTGCAAGGCGGTGCCTTGTACGAGTCTGAACATGCCCTTGGCCAACTGAAACCGCTTGGCTACGGAGAAGAGGGAGATGGCGGTGTCTGCGAAGGCGGAGGCTGAGGATGGGCTGTCGAGGTCTTCGAGGGTGAAGAGGGCGATGGTGGAGTGTTACGAGCTGACCATGGGCATGTATTCGATGGGCCAATTTGTGCGTTCGATGTCGAGGAGTTTACGGAGTTCGTGGGCGGAGGACAAGCGTAATTCGCGCGCGCGGTGGGCGGGCGAGGATTTGTCGATTATCGAGGAGTTTTGGATGAAGCCGAAGATGGTCATGATTCTGGAGTGGTAGCTTAAACTGGGGTGTGGGTTTTCTTTCTTTCCCTACTTAAACGGGGATGGTTGGTGTGCTTACTGCATGTCCAGGACTCCGGGGGTTGGTACATTCCCCAGGCTCACGCATTCGGGAAGCACCTTGGTCCATTGTTGTAAATCCGTGTAGACATTTACAACCATCTTCTCGGTATTCGATTGAGGCGGTTTATCGTTGTTGCTGAAGAAGAAACTACATAGATCCCAAGTGATGCATCCCAGCTTGAACAATGCGTTGACCAAACAATTTGTATGAGCCTGCGCAGGCTCTGCCTATACAGGATAAGGCACCCACGTGTCTTTGGGGTCATGAGTTTCTGGGAGATGTCTCGGCAGAAGTTTCTTGAACGGCAGTGCTCGTTATAGAGCAATGCAGGCGGTCCTTTTGCGAGTCAGCCAAGATAGGGTTATTTTTGGGAGAGGAACTAACGGTAGAAGAGCGCAAACCCCACTAATGGTCATATCAACGGCTCTAGCGGTATTTTCGGCCTGGTCACCGGCTTTGGCTACAATACTGTCACGGAACTTCATCATATGTCGAACTTGTTCTGCCATCTGGCCCAATAGTAGAAAACCAAATCTATCTTTCCCGGTAACACAGGCCCTGCATATGTTTAACTATCAGTCCGTACTATGAAAACGACGTACCATGTATAAATCCCACCCAGTCCTTGAAGGTTCGTAACACTAGGCTTCCCCTGCTGCTCATCAAAAAATCGATTCGCTTCGTTGTAGAAATGCATTCCCCTGGTATTAGGATCACCCGGTTCGGCAAATACTTCAGGATAACTAGAATAGAACTATCACGTCACCTTCAGTCGACACTCAGAATTAGGGTACAATGGAGCACGAAATAGGGACGCACACAAGCCACAGCAAGAATACTGTTGACAAGAAACGGAGAACAAAACCGAGCTCCCAATTGACCCTTCTCCATATCCATCAAGAACAGCTCAGGATCAATCCAGTTGAGCGTGGTATTATGCCAGGTGAAATACAGCGACACCAAATGAGACACAAAGTTATCATCATCCGAAACCGAAGTCCACGGCTGTGCAGGAACCTTCCATTGAGGATTATCCGACAACCACTTAATATCCATAACCCGCAACCGACTCAACGACCGCGAATGCGACAAATGTTGCTGCGAGTCTGCTTGCATAAGTCGAGGCTCGTTGGTAATCACAGTATCCGGATCAAAGTCATCAGCAATGCACCGTCGGATCTCGTCAAACGACACCTTGCTCCTCCGAATTATTCTCAACAATCTGTCCGCTTTCACCTGGTCTTCTCCACGGAGTGTCTCGAGCAGCTGGATGAACAAGGACCGGTCCTGCTCTAGCGTCTCGAGTTTATGCTTGAGGGCGACTTTTCGGTGGCCGTCTCAGTTCTCGTCGACGATGCATTGTTTGTTTTCTTTGCGGCATCTGGCACACGGGGCTCCTATGCATATTTACGTGTCAGTCACAGTCACAGTCACGGTTAACACAGGACAGAATCACCGAGTCAACAATCACAATAACAAGAGAACGAAAAATACTTTTGCCTTGTCCTTCCGGCACTGGTCGCACGCTATCGTCGCATTTGGCAATCGGACTGGCGGGAGACTCTTGGACGCTCGATACAGAGGCTGGGTCGGCCTTATAGGCGGCGGGGGCATGGGATCTATGGTCGGGATCCGGGGACAGCGTGGATGGCGCGGTCTGTACCTGACACGGTGGTATGGGTGAGCTGAGCCAGAGCCTTGGGTTAGGAGAAGTGTGTTGTGTGGGAATGGAGATTGGGGTTAGGTCACGGGTATGTCATGGGCCTCGCATACGTACAGACGACGATAATTGCTGTCAATCCATTGATTCCTTTGGTTGATTTGGCATGAGGCTGCCCTAATGCACACTATTAGCCCGCTGTAACCGGATATAATATTCCCTTCATTGTATATTCACCTGGACTGATCCTGTTGAATTAGACGCTAGTTAGTTAACTAACTAGTTATGCAATCTCCGTAAAAAAAAAAAAAAAAAATTTATCCCGGCTAATACCAGTACGATGCAGGTAGTCTGACGTGAAGATATGTAAATGATGCATTGATTGTGGATATAACCCTAACGCCTGAGAAACTAATATATACTTGTACATGAAATCGACCCAGCTGCCCATAATGCCATGACAATCAAACACGAAAATCTTAACCATGTAGACGCATAAAAAACCACAAGACTCAACTACTCATCCTTATCAACAATCAACCCCCCACGGCTCCTCTGAATCCTTTGATCAAGACTATCCTCCTGTAACTGGCGATGCAACTGTCCGACAAACCGACCCTTCTCAGTACGATTCTTCTCGTCCTCCTCGCGCTGACGCTCTTCCATGGCGGTGACTTCGTCGATGCGCTTACGGCGGGTTGTCTCGAGGTCGCTGGCGTTGGATTGCATTTCGGCGAGTTTGCGCTGGCGTTCTTCGTCCTGTTGTTCTTTCGATTTGGCATTGTTGGCCTGGCCATTCGCGTGGCCGTTGGGCTGGGGACGGTTGCTGTTACGGTCACGGCGATAGGAATCACGCGGGCGGTTGTCGTAGTCTCGAGGTTTGCGGTAGCCGTTGCTTTCTGAGTCTCGTCCGTCAGGAGAAGGACGACGGTCCCGACGAGAGGGTGAACGTCGACTATACGAGTCGCGACGAGGACGGTCGTGGTACCTGTCATCATGATCCCGGTGTCTGCTCGAAGCACGACGATCGCGGTCTCTGCGGTCCCGTTCGTCTCGAGATCGTCCACGTCCACGGTCTTCGCGTCGGTCACGGTCCCTGCGATCCCTGTCCCTCCGGTCACGATCATCACGATAGTCCCGATCATCTTTCCGACTCCTATACGAACGACGATGATCTGGCGATGAAGACCTAGACCGGTGTCGACGTGTCCGATGTCTGTGCGAGTCCTCATCACTGTACCGACGACTTCTGTGACGATGACCGCGGTCACGATCACGCTCTCGTTCACGTCCCTTCTCCGGCTGACGATCACCACCACTACCACCATCAACAACCTTCTTCCCCTTCCTCGCCGACTCCTTCACTGCAGCCTCATAAGCCGCCTGCTCCCTCTTCTTAACCTCAAACAATGGATCCGCCATAACTTTCGTCATCATATCCCTACTATTCACCGGCGCCACAGCACCAGCACCCGCCCCAGGACCCGCCGCCGGAGCAAAATCCGCCCCTCTCTCCAACTTCTTCGTCTCCTCCCCCTTCAACAACACCGAATCAATCCGTCTCTTCCCCAACAGATACCCCTCCATCTCCTCAGCCACATGACCCGTCGCCCCCGAGGGAGCCTGATACATCCAGTCAACGCGCTGCGTCTGTCGTACCTGGCCCGAGTCTTCCTGGAGGCGCTGCAGGTCTTGGATTTGGCGCTCTTCATCGCGTTCGCGGCGGAGTTGGTCGATGCGTTTGCGTTCCTCGAGGGCTTTTTGCTCCTCAGACCAGACGCGCTCTTGGTTGCGGAGGAGGGAGGGGTGCCATGATCTGGGTTGCTTGTTAGTCTCTGGGTAGGTTATGGGTTAGGGGTTGGGATATGGGATAAGGGGATGGGCTTACTTCTTCAGGTTGAGATCTCCACCACCCATTTTGAATTGATGGGCGCTGTTGCGCTGTGATGGTTGGGAGAATTGAAGATGATGAATGAAGATGGGGAAGGTACGATAAGAGATCAGATTCCAGAAAAGGAAGCGGCGAGAAGTGGATTATGTAAGTTGCCACCAGTGTTGTTGCCTCAGGCATTAAATGGTACATAGTTATAACTAACTAGTTAACTATCAAAATTCTCTGGACAGGAGACCTACAATATGGATCTCATTACCACTCCTAAGTTACAGTCGAAAAAAGTGCATAAATACATAGCAGAGCTAGCTAGAAAACAGGGACAAGACGTCAAGCCACTGCGTAAATCCATATGAAATGAGATGTACCCTCAACACGTCTAAGAGGAGATAACCACAATATCGCACCATCTAAACCGAGCCACAAAGTGATCCATATTATGCATTACGCCTTCTAACTCTCCCATCCAACCCAGCTCCGCGGCATAACTCGCCAGACCTTGCACTCCCCACTGCGCAGGTCATTGAGCTTGAAGCTCTCCATCTTAATCTTCTTGCTCTCACGCCCTTGCTCCCACGCACGGATCTTCTTCTTCGTTCCATCCCAGTCGACAACAACACCGACGTGATCGGGCTTACCCACCTCTGCGTTGTACTTCTGGTGCATTGTCCCGCGGTGGCCCTGGAAGCGGGCATTCCGGAAGCTCACGATATCACCTGCGCGGATCTCATCGAATTGCTGCACAGATGCGTTGGCGAGGTTGGCGTAGACCAAAGCGCCGTAGGATCGGGTGCCAACGGGTAACAAAGCGTTCGACAAAGGCTGGAGTAGATGTTGGACCAGACCAAACGGAGTACCGTCCGCGACAGTAGTGTTTTGAAACGATGTCACCGCATCATTAATACGGGTACCGTTTTGAACGTGTGCATTCTCCAACTGATCCTGACGAGGCTGAACCGGAGGATGCTCTTTGCGCTGCTCCAAGGAGACGTCAGATGGGTTCCGAGCATCATAGGTAACCGTGATGACCGTCTGGGAGTAGTCCGCATAAAGGACGTAGACATCCTTGGTCACGGTCGTCTTACCACCGCGCTTCATGGAGGTTGACTCCTCGATCTCGAACTGCACATCCTTCCGACCTTGGATGGCCGGCGGTGGCGTGTTGGGTTTGGCCCACCACATGGTGTGCTCTGCTAGATCGACATCCATGGCCATGAATCCCTGATCGAATGACGGGCGAGGGCCGTCAATGGATCGTCGTACCCCATGCGAGCTCCGCGGAACATCCAAAGAAGTACGGTTACTCCGAGACGAGGATGGGGGTGGGCCAACTGGAGTCTCGTGGGGAGGCGGCAGAGGTGGTACACCGGACATGCGCTTCTCCCGCGACGGAGAAAACGGCCGCTCGGAAGACGTGGTCACGGGAGATGCATCATACAGTTCATCCTGTTCATCGGCCGTTGGCTCGGGCCGAGGAACAGGTGGCTGTGGCCGTCCAGCGGGGACAGGTGGCATCGTAGGTGAAGCCAAGCCATGCTGCGGGTTGCTATACCGGAACGGGTCGTATTCATCATCTTCGGGGGCAGCTGGGGGAGCAGCCGGAGGCGGCGGTGGAGGTCCTCTAGGAATGTCAACAGACGACCTACCGGCGCTCCTAGGAGGTTGGTTGGGTGGTGGCGGTGGGACTGCTCTGGGAGCAGTGGGAGGTGGGGGAGGGGCACCACAAGGGCTTTGAGGCGACTTAATTGAAAAGTCGTCGACAGGGGTGCCTTCGTCCATGCTTGAGTCGGCCTCGTGACCCTTCAGAGCATCCTTATGCTTAGCACCGGACGCGATATCTGTGTCGTAGTCACCGTCATATTCCGTGGTTTCGCCGTCCCCTTCCCCGGCTTGGCGAGAAGAAGCCGTGGTAGTCCGGCTTTCAGCCGTAGATCTACGGCGAAGATCGTTGGGCGGTGGCGGAGGAGGAGCCCTAGTTTGTCTCGGAGGTGACAATGGTGGACTCGTAGGAATAGGCGGTGGTGGTCGACTAAGTCTTTTCTCCGAACCAAAAGTAGGAGACAGAGGAGACGAGGTATCATAAGTCGAAGGGCGTCGTGAATCCAAATGATCCGGGAGTGGTGGTGCTCCAGCTGGCGGGGGCGGAGCGGGCCGGTCCGCAGCGACGGCGTTCAAAGACAGATTTCTAGCGTGAACAAAAAGCTCATCGTCCGACTCGTTCCCTGCATCCGCGGAAGTGGGAGGAGACTTCGGAACAGGGGGGATGGACCGGGCTGTTTCGAGCTGTTAGAGTGGCTTGATATCATCCGCAAAGAACTTGGCTGACTTACCACCTGTTGTCGAAGACGGCGATGTGGGTTGCTCCTGGGGGACTGACGGCGGAACAGGCTTGGTCGCCAAAGGCGGAAGTGGAGGCGCTGCGCCCTCTGTAAAAGCTTGGATATTAGCTGGTGCAACCCACCGGGTGTAGAACAGGAATACATACCATGAGGGGGTGGCGGTGGTGGCCTTTCCGTGGATGGCTCTTCATGGACAACTTCCTCGACATCAGGAATTTCCTCTGCGGTATGCTGCTCGGTCACATGAGGGGGTTGAGGCGCTTCCTCTTCCTTCTCGACGTCGGTGGGGGGAGCGGGGGGCGGCTTGTTGGCATTCATTCCTGGCAAAGCCATGACAGGAACCGGGGGAGCGGGAGCAGCAGCAGGGGTGGTGGCCTCCGATTCGGCAGCAGGCTTCTTTTCAGTATCCGCAGAGGGCTTGGGTTTGCGAGGAGCCGCGCCAGGCATTGGCATTCCACCAAATAAGCCCATCATGCCCATACCACCGCTCATCTTGGCCATTCTCTCTCGGAGTTCCATTTTGCGCTTGACCTCGGGATCAACTTCTCCTTCCTGTTCCTCCTCCTGTTCGCCTTCAGCCTCCTCGTCAGCGGTATCTTCCTTCTCCTTGTCTTCCTCCTGTTCAGCAGGCGGTTCCCGTCGCGACACAGGACGAGCAGCAGGAGCATCATCGTAATCTTCCTTGCTGGTCGAGGTCTCCTCTGCTTCTTCAGTGTCAGCGGCAGCGGAATAGTCCGCATCATTCGCGTCGCTCGTCGGCTCTTGCGCAATAACCGGGGAAGCATGAGTATCAGCCTCAGCAACTTCACCGCCTTCAACAGGAGCAGCTTGTTCGGCCGGCTCCGCAGGCTTCTTGGGCTTCTCGGGCTTCTCCTTCTTCTGGGCAGCTTCAGCATGACGGACCGCCTGCTCCGCTTGACGCTGCTGGAGCAAGGCGATTCTTTCCTTCAAGCTCGTGGGCTTGGGCTGCTCTTCCCCTTCTTGCTCTGGTGATTCAATCGCAGGGGGTGGAGGGGGTGGGCGGCTTTCAGAGACGGGAGGCTCCCGTGCCAGCTGTTCCTGGAACTCCGGATCCTCCTCGCGCCTGTATATCTTCGGAGGCGGCTCCCTAGGTGGAGGCGGAGGCACGTAGGCATGTCTGCTGGGAGGTGCAGCCACAAAAGGTTTCTTGACAAATGAGCCTGGATTGGATCCCGAACTGAGTCCACCGGGTTTGATTGGTGCAAGGGGCGCCTCCGCAGCCTTGTTGAACGCAGCAATGCGATCCCTAAACGAGGAACTGCTCGGTTTCGGCGCTGCTGCCGGCGGCGGAGGCTTGGCCGTATGCTTAGAAGCGGGTTCAGCTGCGGCTGGCGGAGGAGGTGCTGCAGCTTGCATAGGCTTTGGAGAAGTGGGAGCTTCTGCGACTGGCGAGGTGACCGTTTGGGGAGGAGGGGATTGCGGAGGCTGCGGAGCCGGCGCCGGCGGTTGGGGAGCGGAAACCTCGGGAGCCGCAGCAGGAGTAGCAGCAGGAGTATCGTCAAACTCGGGCTCCGGCTGGTCGTTGGATTCAACCGGGCTGGGGTCCGCTGGCGACGCAGGCTCGGGGGGAGGAACTACAGCTTCAGGCTCCTTCTTGGGCCTGTTGGGACGAGATGGTCGGGGCGGGGCAGGCGGCTCATATTTCTCGACAAAGTTCTTGGGGAAGATGCCCTCCTGTTTAGCACCCGATTCATCCGTGTATTCACCGGAATACCACTCGTCATCCTCAACACCCATAACGGTTACGATCTGACCGATTGGGAAAGCCAGGTCATCCTCATGGTCTGAAGCGTACTCGAAGATCGCTTTGACCGTAAACGGTGGATTGGACATCTGGACTGGTGTGGTGTGATTGGTGGGGTTGTTGTTGTTGTTGTTGCTGTAGAGGGAATGGACGGTTTATAGACAACGGAATGATGCCAGACAAGATGGATGTAAATCACACAAGATAAAGGACTGTACAGAAGCGAAGCATCTGAATATTCAGACACATCCGCAGCACAGAAACATGGAAAGAAACGACGAAGGAGTGTGTGTAGAGAGAAGTACTCTGTATGTTATGCCTGAGGGAGCCGAATATGTGTCAGCCTGGGGGGGTACGTCAGAACGCAGAAAAGGGGAGGGGAGAGGTATAGAGGGGAACAAAGGGTAGGAAGAAGAAGAAGCATAGCTGGATGTTTGTATATATAAAGATACTCACAGTAAAAGCAAAGGATGGAGTGGTTGAGGACTGTATGAGAGATGGTAGAAGAGAAAAGAAAAGAAGTCGGAGGGAGAGAGTGATGGAGAGAGGATGTTGTCTGGCGGGACACTCACTACTCCACTGCTGAGCGATCGGCGAGTATGAAGGGTGCGTAAAGTAGGATATTATACGTACAGAGTAATGTAATATGATATTATATTGCTATGCTATAAATATAAAAGACAAGTATTAAGATCTGCTGGTCCCATACAATCAAAGCGCCTGATATCGTCATCTGCTGGGGAATCCGGGGATTTATTGTTACTTTTTGCCTCTATCGAAAAGTCATCACTTTATCCTCCGACTGTCAACACAACCATCATCACTCATCCTACCTTTTACATTATCTTTTCTACAATAGTACAAAAGTAAATATATTTTAACATTTGATTATCGTCCATCATGTCCGTCAATCAAAATCCCCTGAGAACATCCCTTCCCACGACACACGCCGCTGCTTCAGATTCCTCCCGTCGCCAACAAAAGAAACCCCAGGGCCAGTCCAACTCAGGAGTCGACCCCCGTCACATGGCCATAGCCCTGCACCACGCCCACCGCATTCAATCCCAAAAAGATACCGCATCCCTCATCCTCGACCGCATCCTCGATCTCGTTTCCTTCCCTTACTCGCCAACCGCAGACCCGTCGACGCCATCTCCCGAAGACGCGCTTTTGTTCAAGAACGCGCTGGTGCCGTTCCAGCCTACGGACTATGATAACCTCATTCAAGAACGGAATATCGAGGGTCTATGTGGCTACGGTTTATGTCCGCGAGAGCATCGCAGGGAAGAGGGCGGTGGCATGTTCCGGATTAAATACGGCGCCAAAGGGAGCGGTCCGGGCGGAAGGGGCCGGGAGATGAATATCGTTCCCAAGGAGAAGTTGGAAATGTGGTGTTCGGATGAGTGTGCGGAGCGGGCGATGTATATCCGGGTTCAGTTGGCGCATGAGCCAGTCTGGGAGCGAAGGGGGGATGATTCGCGGAATAAGGATCTGCTTCTACATGAGGAGGCGCGGGAGCAGCAGGGCAGGAGCCTGAGAAGTGGTGATAATACTGCTACGGTTGGACAGGTTGCGGGCCAGTTGGAAAATATGCATATGCATGGTCCTGAGGCCAGAGATATGGCTGCTCAGATGCAGGACTTGTCTCTTCGTTCTCAAGAACTTGCGTTGGAGCGTGGTGATTCGAGCACTGGGGCTTTCCAGCATGATGGACGAGTGGGCGTCCAGATCATGGAGAATGAGAACTTCTCGCATGCCGTGGCACCTCCGCAGATGCGTCCGGAGGATTTCCAGGGTGGTTCCATTGAAGGATACTTCCCCAAGCCTCAGGAGTGAGCAATGTTTTGATGTTCGTTACGCGATGTTCATGAAGATACCCAAGCTACATAAATAGACTCTTGACAGATACATAACAGAGTTTGATAATATAAAAAACCCTGATCAATATCAGATCAATATCTCGAGTCCATATCCTACGGACCGCCCAGGCCATTAGCCATGGACAAAAAATTGGCAATCAAGCATCATCCCCAGAGGAGAATCAGCGACACCTTGGTAATCGGGAATCATATTTTCATTCCTCATCCTTCGAACGCTATCTAAACCGCCAGAACACGCCAAAGGTCGAAGTCGAACGGAGAACGGAAGAACTTTTTTGTTGCACGTCGTAGTCGTAATTAATTTAAGAGCGGAAGCGACGGCGCTCAGGCTGCTGAGCCTGGGTGACGTTGACGACGTTGACCTTGAGGTTGTCGAATCCCAAGCTCTTGAGCAGGTCCTTGGTGTCGGCGTCGACGTCGAGCTGGCCGGACTCGGTCTGGGAGACATCGAGAGCGGAGACCTCAGGGACGTACTGGTCCTTGCGCTCACGCTCCTCCTCCTGGAGCTTGAAGGAGATACCGCGGACGGGGCCACGCTGGATACGCTTCATAAGGTGGGTGGTGTAACCAGCGATCTATTCCCATTAGCCTCTCCCCCTAAGATTTCGATTTCGCAGGATTCGGTAGTGCTCACCTTGTTGCGGAGACGCTTGGAGGCAATGATGGCGATCTCATCGCAGAGACGCTTGTTGGTCTCGAAGTCGAGCGTGAGCTTGGGGTAGTAACGCTCGATCATAACCTTGGCGGACCGCTTGACGGTCTATTTTTTCTGTTAATTTTTGCATCACTTTTTAGACGCTCGTTGATTTCACTGACCTTAGTCCTGACGCGACCCATTTTGGCGGTTGTTTGCTGGCTGGAGGGATGTTCGAATGGCTGTCAAAGTATTCGTTACCTTCTTTTGGTGTCGCAAAAGGGTCGGGCTCGCTTAGCCGCTGTGTGGGTCGTGCCCTAGTACCAGATGCCCTATGTCACGTGGTTCTTATCGATAGCGTCTCCGCAAATACGGTTTACTATGGAGCTATGGAGACTCCAAGTTAAATACTGTACTCGACTATGAACGTTTAATGGAAATTGATGTATATGCGGTTATATCACAAGAATAAAAAGTTCTTTCCGTCCAACCAATCTAATCATACAGTCACATCACACATTATAACAAGTTCCCTAGCTTTCATACTTGAGTGTTTCCATGAGTGACCTTGCAGCATCCTCACGACTCGTCATCGGCGTGTGCCTTCTTTCATCGAATTGCCTAAAGCGAGGCGCCCTGGCGTCCAGTTTCGGAACTTGCCGTGAGGCACCCTGAGTCACTTCCGCAACGCGGTTCGCGGCATCGGCCTCTGGCGCATCCTCAATGCCGTAGGGGGCCTTGGCCGTAACGCTTGCCTTGAGAGATGCCAGGTCGATTTTGCCATCCGAGGTAACTGAAGCCCGGATTGGCGTAGCCCAGTATTTGCCACCGCCTTCGATGGATGCATCAAAGTAGGCCAATCCAGGGGGCGTCCGTTGGTCCCAGAACGTAATGGAGTTCACGTCTTCGGATGCAATACCACCAATACCTGCAATGGCCCTATTGCCCTTGCCCTTGAGCTTGCTCTTTGGCCGCAAGATACGCGCCTGCACGGGTCGTTGATAGGCCTGCGGGCCGTGTTCCGGATGGTTGTAGAGCAATGCGTGGGACCGCGTGTAGGACAGACCCGCTGAGGGGTGCGTCCTCGGTGGTCCAGAAGTAGCGTATTCCGTCGCAGACAACTTGGTTCCCGGAGCGTGGAAATACTTACCGGCAATTCTCATGTTGGGCACTGGCGGCGGGGACGGAAGGTCCAGAAGTTCGAAGATCACTGGGCCTAGAGCAGTCGGGTCTGCACGTAGCGATTTAATGTAGGCATGGAACTCCTTCTCGTCAAACTTGATGGGCTGCATGTTCTCGAGATCCTCTCCCTTGTCTTGGATCGCCTTTCTCTGTTCCACGGTGCGCTTTGCCACATACATATCGCGAAGCCTTTGCAGAACCTCCGGCTTGTCGCGTCGAACCTTTTTCAAGTAGGTCTGGAACTCCGCTTCGGTCTGCCCGGCAAGCCAAGGTCCGGATTGCCTGAATTGTTTGGCATACGGTCTCGCAAGGTCTTTGCTCGTCTGTGTGTTGTCGACATCCAATTCGAATGGACTCTGGTGTCCCGGAAGGAAACTGCTCGAGTAGTTGACCTTGGACGGAAGCGACATGGGCAGGTGAAGTTCCTGGAACTTCGCCAAGGTCAACGTGTGGTCTTGCGCGGATTCGAAGTCGGTAACATGTTCGAAGGTGTCATGGGCGTTCACCCTAATCACCGGTCTGACCGATTTTTCCGATGTTGACTTTGACGGGATAGGACGTTTCAAACCCCAATCACCACGTTTTGATGACGAACCCGGAGTAACAATCGATGCTCGGGTCGGATAGGGAAGGGTCGCGCTGTCGGATTCAAAGACCGTCTTCGAAGTGGGGGGTTCTTGGGGAGGCTTCAATGCCTGTGGCAATGCGAACACCCGCGACTTCCGCAGAAGATTCGCCGTCGGCGATAATCTCGCGGACGTCATGGCGTTTCTGATGGCTGGATTCAAGGATATTCTTTTTGCTGCGGAGGGATCCTCGGAGGAGAAAATGTCTCCAGGCGGTACGGGGAGCGACAGAGCCGGAAGATGCAGCTTTTCCGACTGCCCGATCTGGACCACTCTTAAGCAATGAACTACGTCTACTTACAACTACACAAACAATGACTGGCAAAACAATGGTGACGATCTATGTTATTGGTCTATAATTTAAGTTCCTTTAACTTCTATACACGGGTTATGTCACAATTTACGCACCAACAGCCAGCAGAGACTCAACGGTATCGGCAACAGTCTTCTTCAAAGGCAGGTACGAGATACCCAGAAGCTCACGGGATCTGGTGTTGTCGTATCCGTAAGCATGAGTTGGGGGGTCGCTAGGAGCACCCTTCGGTGGCAGCTTCGATTCCAACTGAGGGTGGCTTTCCCGAATAGCCTCCGCAATCTCCTGGTTTGAGAAGAAACCGTTGGTGACGAAGAATCTCTTTCCTCCAGCCTCTGCGACTTCAATTGCTTTAACGTGAGCCAAAGCAATGTCGCGAACATCCACCCAAAGCGAAGTGTCTGTGGAAGGCTGCTCGTCCTTCAGGTTACCCTGGACAAAGTCCCTGAACCGCTTGTTGGATGTGTTGATCGCATCGAGGGAGTTCAAGTAGTTCACGATGGGTCCGAAGACAAGGGGGGGGTTGATCGTAGCGATGTCGAAGTTGGGCTTCTCGTTTTCAACGAAGTCCCATGCAGCCTTCTCCGCAAATGTCTAGGCCCACAATTAGTCTTGGTTCAGTATAACACGGGTGCATTGACTTACCTTGCTACCCCGGTAAACCTTGGAATGGTCCAAGGCCTGTTCCCAAGTGACAGGGTTCCAGTGCTCTTCACTATAGACAGGAGGATGTTGCTCGGAGTTGACAATGGAGGCGAAAGACGAAGTGACGACGACCCTCTTCACAGTAGGGGCGTAGGCCTTGATCGCCTTCAAGATTCCAGTCGTTCCCTTGATGGCGGGGTCCAAGAAGTCCTTGACGGGGTCCTGGACATTGAAGTGGAAAGGAGATGCTGTGTGGAGGACATAGTCGAATGGCGGGTTAGATTTAACAGCCTGTAATCTGTATTAGCCATACAAATAGTTTCCATTGGGGAGTGACATGGATACATACCTCGTCGAAGGCACCGTCTTCAGCGACATCCTTGACAATGACATATGACAGCTTCTCCTTGGGGAGGTTGGGGTGGTTTTCAAGGATCTTCTGACCCTTCTCGTCGGAACGGACCGTGACGACGGTGTCGAAACTGGGATATCCTTGTATTAGCTGTGAAGAACGATTGGCCAGATGCGAAAGCAGGCAATACATACTCATGCTGCAGCAAGATGTCGATGATGTGAGCGGCAATGAAGCCACTGCCGCCTGGTCGGATGTTAGCATCGGACTTCAGAGCGATTGCGAATACAGCTCAGAACATACCAGTGAGCAGAACCTTGGGCATTGTGATGTATATTGTTCAATTGGTGTTGTAAATAGAAAACAAAGAGTAATTTATGGGAAAGGTATGTGTATGTTGAAGTAGAATGTTGTAGATAGAGGGAGTCTGCTCGTTATATACTGTACTCCAGCCCCTCCCCCGCGCTGGCGCTATCATTCGGCTATCTCCCAAATGATTACAAATTTCAGCTCAGCTCGCCATGAAACACAAATGAACAGTTGGCATTTCTATGGAACTCATATCGCAATAATTGATGTCAATTAGGTATGTCTGTTCGGACTATCTATCAAGGTCCTGTGTACTTTGCTCAGAGTAGTACTCCGACTATACCTCCATATTGCATAGAATCGATGTATTCTACGCTTCTTTGTGGTATATACTCAAGATATTGAAACAATCTGATACAATTCTAGAATGTCTCGGGGCATCATCCATAAATAAGATAGATAAGCTTCTTTAATCTATTTAGTATTTCATGTTCCATGTCCAAAGCACTTCCGGTTTGGGCAATCCAGAGTATAAGAGCAGAGTATGGTACCAGGCAGCCAGTCTAGCGGACGTAAATAAGTGCTCTTTTACATATGAACCAGCCTTGTTGAAGGGCAGTAGTTCAAATTGTCTATAATACTAACCTATGCCCACCTTGTTATCGTCATTCCAATGGGTACTCGCAGCTATATATCTCCAACGTACTCGTACTTCATGGTTTATAGCACTGGTGTTCGAGAACTAGAAAGACCTAAACGGTTAAATTATACATTTAAATGCAATAATAAACTATTATTTATATATGAAATTCTCGTCTTTCATCCTAATGTACTTTGTATAGTGAATGATGCCCCAGGCCGGAATATCACTAGCCCGTGCACTCTCCCCGGCGGAAGTGGACTCTACCTTCACTTTCTCAACCTCTGGCAACCCGATTAAGCTTAACCATCTCCTCCCTCCTTTTCCTTCCCCCATATACATAATGACTCTTGTGTCTTTCACCCTCAGCTTGCCCCGAGACATTGAATTTCAAATGTTCATCCCGGGGGTGGTCTGCAAACATGGCGCAAGCAGGTCCTATCACGGACGTCACCCATCGGCTGTTCTTCGACCTAAAATCCAAGAACGAGGAAGTACGGGCGCGAGCTGCCTACGATCTTTACGATAATGTCATTGCCATTTCAAGAGGTGCCTATTCATTATCCTCACATTTCAGTCGTGGTTTTATCTGCTCGTCGCACTGCTGACACTTGGTTCCTCATCTTACAGATTGGCCGCCGGAAAAGTTCCTTGAGTTCTACAATGCAGTCAGCCAATGTATCGCGCAGCTCGTTGTAACTGGTAGTGATGCCAATGAAAGAATCGGCGGTTTACTCGCTTTGGACCATTTAGTCGATTTTGACGGAGTCAGTTCAGCCCAGAAGATCACTTGTTTTGCCAGCTACCTCCGCATCGCGCTCTGAAGTAATGATACTCTGGTGTTGGTGTATGCAACAAGGGCACTGGGCCACTTGGCCAAACCTGGTGGAGCTCTAACAGCGGAATTGGTTGAAAGTGAGGTACACTCGGCTCTGGAGTCGCTGCAGTCCGAACGACAGGAAAGCAGGCATTTTGTGGCGGTCCTTGTCCTCTGCAAACTGGGCAAAGGCTTGCTGACTCTTCTATATGGCTTCATCCCACAGATATTTGAGCTTATCTGTGTCGCTTTATGGGATCCCAAGGTGCTCATCTGAGAGTCGGCGTTGGATGCAGTCAGCAAATGCTTCGAGATCATAGCCGCTCGCGATAGTCAGGTTCGGAAACTGTGGTTCGCACAAATTTATGAAGAGGCACTGCTGGGACTGAAGTCGAGCAATGTGGACTGGATCCGTGGATCGCTTCTGGTGCTCAAGGAACTTTTGTTGAAGGGTGCTATGTTCATGAATGAACACTACTGAAATGCATGCGAGATCGTCTTCCGCCTCAAAGATCAATGTTATCCTAAAATCCGCACGCAAGTCGTCTTGATGATACCAATCCTCTAATCTTATGCACCCCTTGACTTGACCAAGATCTACCTCCATCAATTCATGATATACCTGCAGGCGCAGCTCAAGAGAGACAAGGAATGGAATTCAGCATTTATTGCAATTGGAAAGATTGCCAGCGTGATTGGTGGGGCAATGGCGCAGTATCTCAATGGGATCATCATATACATTCAAGAGGGATTAGCAATGAAAGCATGGAGTCAAGCCACAGTCAATGAAGCTCTGATGTTTGAATGCATCAGCATGCTGTCTCTGACTGTCAGGCAAACGCCCAGCAAGTACATGGAAGCATTGCTTGACCCCATCTTTGTGTGCGGGCTGAGTGAGTTGCTTACACAAGCACTTGTTGACATGGCTCATTATATCCCACCCATCAAGCCTACAATCCAAGAGAAGCTCCTAGAGATGCTGAGTATCATCCTTTATAGAACGCCATTTCGGCCTCTTGGGTGCCCTGAAAACCGACTCCCTCCTATGCCATCATTCACGAAGGACTTCTCTCCCCAAGAGCTGCATTCTGATGCCAAAATTGCCCTTTCCCTTCATACCCTAGGAAGCTTTGATTTCTCTGGTCACATCCTGAACAAATTTGTACAGGATGTTGCCATAAATTACATTGAGAATGACAACCCTGAAATCCGCAAAGCTTCTGCGCTCACTTGCTGCCAACTATTCGTCCATGACCCTATTATCAACCAAACTAGCAGCCATTCAATTCAGGTTGTTAGTGAAGTGATTGACAAGCTTCACACTGTCGGCATTGGGGATTCCGACCTAGAAATTTGATGCACTGTTTTGTGGTCATTGGACTGGAAGTTTGACCGTCATCTGGCAAGACCTGAAAACATCAATGTCTATTCTTGGCTGTCAATGACGAGGTATTCTCAGTCAGAGAAGCTGCGATTTGTATTATTGGATGTCTTTCCAGTGTCAACCCAGCTTATGTTTTCCTGCTGCTGCGGAAATTGCTTGTCAACCTCTTAACTGGCCTTGGGTTTGCCAGTACAGCTCGCCAAAAGGAAGAGAGTGCCCTGCTCATCAGCCTATTTGTCTCAAATGCCACAAAGTTGATCAGATCCTACATCAGCCCTATTGTCATGACTCTGCTCCCAAAGGCAACAGATGCCAACCTGGGAGTCGCGTTGACTACATTGAAAGTGGTTGGGGAATTGGAAAACGTCAGGGGAGGTGAGATGACACACTATCTACTGCAACTCATGCCTATTATTTGGACGCGCTCCAGGATCTTTTGTCTCACGCAAAATGAGAATCAGCATTGCGTATGCTTGGTCAGTTGGCCGGCAACTCTGGCTACATTATAGACCCGTACCTTGAATACCCCCATCTTCTTGCTGTACTCATTAATATCATCAAGACGGAGCAGACGGCGTCTCTCTGGAAGGAAACCAAGCTTCTGGGTATCCTTGGTGCCCTGGACCCATACAAGTATCAACAAATTAGCGAAGATGCTCCGGATATCCATCATACCAACGAGGTGCAGCCTGTCACTGATGTTGCCCTGATCATGCAAGGTCTTACACCGTCCAATGAAGAGTACTATCTGATAGTTGTCATCAACACCCTTATGCAGAACATCCTGCGGGAGAACTTACTTATGCTCGCCTGAAATTCAACTGGGCGTCAGGCGGTCAGCGTGAATCTCTAGGAATGTTGAAAGAGTTCAATGCGACCCTGACAGAAGACTTTACTTGGTTCAATGCTCTCATCATGTCACAAACGGATCATGCCATTAACGGTGTGAATGGCGTGGTGGACGCGAACCATGCCGATATTGCCGGCCTCCGTGAGCGTGTTGGCGATGTAGGCAAACTCCGACATCTTCTTGCAAAGAGCTATCTCAGACAAGGAGAATGGCAAATGGCCTTGTAGCGTGGTGACTGGAACCCAGAACTCATCCATGAGGTCTTGAATATATATGCTGCAGTGACAAGATACAACCAGGATTCATACAAGGCGTGGCACTCATGGGCACTGGCTAACTTTGATGTAGTTACTACCATTGCTAGCCAAGCTAACTGCAAGGGACAGCCTCTGGTCATGGTTTCTCAGCATATTGTGATGGAGCATGTCATTCCTGCCATCCACAGTTTCTTGCAGTCTATTGCACTGTCCTCAACATCATAATTGCAAGACACTTTGCGTCTGCTTACCCTCTGGTTCACTCATGGCGGCAACCAGGATGTCAATGGCACTGTGACAGAAGGATTCACTGCAGTTAACATTGACACTTGCCTTGCTGTTACTCCACAGCTCATTGCATGGATCAACCAGCCCAACTACTGAGTCTGCACCTCCATCCATTGCTTGCTGGCCAAAGTGGGCAGGGCGCACCTGCAAGCACTCGTGTATCCATTGACAGTTGCCATGAAATCCAATGTGACCCGCTGATTGCAGTCCACCAGTAACATAATGGACAACAAGCAGCAGCACAGCGCAAAACTGGTTGAGCAGGCTGATCTCATGAGTCACAAACTGATCCGTGTTGCCGTTTTGTGGCATGAACTCTGGCATGAGGGCCTGGAGGAAGCTTCTCATTTGTATTTTGGTGACCATACTGTGGAGGGCATGTTTGCAACTCTAGCATTGCTCCATGACATGCTTGATCAGGGGGCTGAGACTCTGTGAGAAGTGTCTTTCACACAGGCGTTTGGTTGTGACCTTGCAGAGGCTAAGCATACTGCATACTGTATCACAAAACTGAGGAGATTGGCGACCTGAACCAGGCTTGGGATCTTTACTACACTGTGTTCCAGAAGATCAGTCTCTAGCTTCCGCAGTTGTCTACTCTTGACTTGAAATACGTTTCGCCTAAGCTTAAGGATTGCTTGGATTTTGACTTGGCTGTTCCGGGTATCTACCAGAGTGGTAGACTGATCATCCGGATTATCAGCTTTGACCCGATTCTCCATGTTCTGCAAATGAAGAAGCGGCCTAGGAGGATGACACTGAAGGGCAGTGATGGAAGCCCTTACATGTACACTCTCAAGGGACATGAAGATATCAGACAGGATGAGCATGTCATGCAGCTGTTCAGTCTCATCAACACACTGCTTGACAATGATGGTGAAAGCTTCAAGCGTCATCTTTCTGCCCAGTGATTCCCAGCCATTCCGCTTTCCCAGAGCTCTGGTCTCCTGGGATGGGTTTCCAACAGTGACACATTACACACGCTTATCATGGAATACCGAGAGAGCCGCCGCATTCTGCTTAACATTGAGCACCATATCATGCTCCAGATGGCATCTGACTATGATAACCTTACACTGATGCAGAAGGTCAAGGTCTTCAGATATGCTATGGACAACACCACCAGAAAGGATCTGTACTGTGTACTCTAGCTCAAGAGTAAGGGCCCTGAAGCCTGGCTCGAGCGACGCACGAACTACACGCGCTCACTTGGTGTCATGTCCCATGGTTACATTCTCAGTCTGGGTGATCACCACCCTTCCAACTTGCTTCTCGACCACGTTACAGGCAAGATTGTTCACATTGATTTCAGTGACTGCTTCGAGGTTGTGATGCATCACGAGAAGTACCCTGAGCGAGTGCCATTCCAGTTGACTCGTATGTTGATATTCGCTATGGAAGTCAGCAATATTGAGGGTAGTTATCAGATTACATGTGAGGCTGTGATGCGTGTTCTGAGGGAGAATAAGGATTCATTGATGGCTGTTTTGGAAGCGGTAAGTTCTTTCCACCTCAAAGTAATTTCAACAAAGCTAATAATTGTAGTTCATCCATGACCATCTGATCAACTGGCGTCTGGGAGTCCGTGAATCTCCTCCGGGGAGAATGTCCTTTATAGCCGAACGTCGCCAGTCGGTGGCTACAAACCTCAACCCAGAAAATGGTGCCCAGCCCAGCACCTACACCCGTCCCCGCTGTCCCTCCATTCTTGAAGGTGGTATCCTGGATGCTCAGGAGGGCGTCCCCAACGAAGCCCGGGAGCTGCAGAACGCACGCGCACTGCAAGTTCTTGCTCGTGTCCAGGAGAAGCTGACGGGCCGCGATTTCCGGCCGTATGAGGAACTCGATATCAGCGACCAGGTGGACAAGCTGTTAGCGCAGGCGACGAATGTGGAGAATATCTGCCAACACTGGATTGGATGGTGCAGTTTCTGGTGATCGATTCGGTTGTTTGTTTGTTTCTTTCTTTTGATGCTCGATTTGTTGAGTGGTAAGGCGCAGGATTGTCGGATATTATATTATTGATACGATGTAATTTGGTTTGCATGGCGCGGATATCAAATTTTTATGTCATTTCTTCTTCATGTTATGTAGCATATGCTTTTATTCTACCAATAATCTGTTGTTTGTTATGAGGCTAATGACATTCCCTGTTGCACGTGTGAGTTGGGTGTTCAGGAATCCTGGAAATAGAGACATGATTGATGTATAATTCGTTCCTGAATAACAATTCCATACCCAATTCATCCTTGTGGCAATCTTCTATTCTCCTACCTTAAGCAAACACTGTATGGCTGTCAAATTGCCGAGGTTCGGCGGTGCCCAACTCAGTGTGCCACTTCACTCCTTAACAGCTGCACATACAACACACCTCCTTCCCTTCCTCCCCTAACTAATACTAGCACTATTTCTAACTAAAATGCCAACCCCCGATCCGAATCCAGCAGACCCAGACCCCGCCATGTCTGCCGATCCAACCGTTGGCGTTGACCCGGCCCTCCGCGCGCTCCTCCGCCTCTCCCTGAGCAGTCAGGAGTACAAGCTCCTTCACGAGCGCGCGCCCGCTGCAGTTAAGAAGAACGCGCCGTCTCCGGCGAGATTCGAGGCGATTGTGCGACCGAAGGATAAATATAATGATGCCGCGATAAGGGAGTCGTTGCGGGTGTTTGTGGGCTCGGGGTTGTTGTTGAAGCTGGTTGAAGTCGTTAGTCGGCGCATGAAGGGCGGTGCTGGCGCCGTTGCAAGGTAAGCACCCCATGAGACATATCAGATTCTATCTGGTGATTGACTCGAGAAGCAAAAAACGATCCATCATCCATTCCCCCAACTTCCGCCTTCCCCTTGCCCTCGCCCTCGTGGTCTTCTTCCACCGTCGCCTGCATCGCTTGTTCGCGCGCATCCGCGCAAGCCTCCGCATCGACAAAGCGCAGCCGTTCCGGGAGCGAAACCCGCGTCTAGCTAAGGCGTTGACATCTCGATATGCGCCCGCTGTCGGGGGGAGTTTGGCCGGGTTTGCGCTGGGGATTGCTCCGCAGGCGCAGTTGCGGATGACGGCGGCGATTTATATGAGTACGCGGACGTTGGAGTTTTTGTATAATGTCATAGATGAGAAGGGGTGGTTGAAGAATAAGCCGTGGTGGTTTGGGAGTTGGTTGTTGATGCCTGTGTCGTGTGCGCAGCTGTTTCATGCGTTTGTGTTTGATCGCGAGACGGTGCCGAAGGTAGCCCCCCCTCTTGCCTCGTTTATAAGTATGTATGCTGATTGCTGGTGGACAGTGGTTTGGAAAGGTCGTTATGAACTCGCCCAGCTACATACAGAGTCGACCTGCTTTGCTCCCCGCGGAGATTCCTTGGCCGGAGAACGAAGAGGTGGTTGATTCGCTCGGTAGCATTGCCAACCTGCGCTGGCCGTACGTGAAAACGACTCCCATGAATTTTTACGAAATTCTAATCTACGCCTCCAGGCCCTTCACCTCGCCGATTTTACACCCGTCCAACCCCAACACCCTGCCGGCAGCGATCAAATCCATCGCCCCGATTACTGGGCCCGCGCATCCCTCCATCTCCAGTCTCTCATGCGCACTCCTACACCCAGCCGTCCCCAGCTGCAACACAGCATTCCTGCACCACATCCTCCTCTCCGTTCCCCGTATCGCCCGCTTCATGACAACCGTCATGCTAGCCATCTCCATCCTCAAATACAAATCCTTCAAAACCAACCCCCTCGCCTCCTTCCAAACCCTCGCCAAACGCATCTTTACCCTAACAGCCGTCCTCTCCACCTCCATCGGCTCCGCCTGGGGCAGTCTCTGCCTGTGGAATACGCTCCTCTCGCGTTCCGCCCTCCCGACAAAACGCTTCTTCCTCAGCGGCGCCCTGGGCGGCCTCCCCTTCGCCTTCCTGGGCAACAACTCCCGCAGCGCATTCATGTCCATTTTCCGCAGCGCCGTCGACTCCGCGTGGAAGTCTGGCGTGAAGCGCGGGCTTTGGAAGGGCTGGACCGGTGGCGAGCTGGGGTTGATTGTGGTGAGTTGGGCGGTTATGGGGGCGATTCTGGAGAGAAGGCCTGGCGCTGTTCAGGCTGGGGGGTTGAGGAAGGGGTTGGCTTGGTTGAGGGGGGATGGGTTTTTGGATCCGGTTGAGGTGTTGGAGAGGAAGAGGGCGAGGAGGGCTGCGAGGAGGGAGGAGCGTGAGCTGGGTGAGGGTCGGGCTTGATTTTGGTTTTTATGGGTTTCTTTCAGTTTTTTCTGGTATTGCTATTTATTATTACCCTGTACTGCTATGCGTAATCACTAAATCTGTTATTATACCGGCTTATAGGTATTTATATTGTCTATGTTCGTCAGTAAGCCACTGGATATATGCAGAGCAAAGTCACAGAAGAGTGCGACAGTCAATATATGCCAAATTAGGAAAGCAAGGCAAAGTGGTCCCATCTGCGAGAAAAACCTTAGCCTTCTGATTGGTAGAAAGACCTCTAATCCAATTGGTTGATCTCAAGTGCGGGATCTTGGCGCGCCGCCTCATAGTCACATGTTTTTGCCTTGGCGCCGCAGGCATCAAAACGTATGGGCGGTACTTTATTCAGCCAATGAGAGGACAAGAAGAACAACGTAGTATTAACTGATCATACTAAAACCCCCGAATGCTCTGCAATAACTAAACCCTGGGTTACATACGGACTGCAGGCATCGTTCTGCCTTTGAATCCTTTAACTGCTCGATTCATGCAAATAGCCCTGTAGAAATAATACTACTAGGTCAGTGGTGATGGTGGGTGATCCCAAAGTACCGAGTATTCCATACCAAATCCCCGAAATGTCGATCAAATCCCAAAGGTATCCATGGTCCGTTGATGCTTCCATGGTTCGGTTCTGTTTGGACAAACCTCTTATTATAAACACCGATATCTCGGTATTGGAGTAGCCTGGATGCTGGACCATCGAACATTCTTCAGGTCAGGTCAGGTCTGGTCCTTGGGTCTACTTGGTTCGGGACTTGGACAATGTACTTGTGAAAACGAAAACGAGTAAAAACGAAAACGAGTGAAAACGAAAACGAGCGAAAACGAATGCGAAGTAGATCCGTACGGAGTATATAAAGAAATTGGTATTGACTAGGGGTGTTTCTAGATGCCCTCACAACATCCGAGGGACTTTGCAGCGTATGTATCTGTATTTCCTTGCTCTCATCGGCAAAAATTGATGTCACTCGGTAGAATCTTCCAGCGAATGAGAGTGTATACAGGAGGACACCATCTCTAATTCAACTTCAGAATACTACTGGAAAGCAAGAGAAAAGAACCTGATAGGGGCGGATTATATAGGATTTGCACCATCCATGTCTTGTATACTACAGTACTGCTATGTACAGTGGCATTTCCACAGCATCCCATCCGTTGCCATCTGTCTATAAGCTTATAGCACCAGGTAGCCATACCAGGTAGCTTTCTCGCGTAGTGACTAATAGTCAAAATAAGAACCAAGGACCTCTCTTTTCCCCTCTAGATTTAGTACGTACTGTATTGATATGACCAGCAATAGTCGGGGAACGGATATGCTTCTCTCCGCCTGTCAAGCCTAACCGCAACCCCATCCTTCTTCTTCTTCAACAGCTTTATCCTGCTTTTCTTGCTGTCATGTCCTCTTGCCTTCCACCTCTCCCGAGAGATGGATCATCCGATCTTCTTGACATGTCTCTTTGCTGTTGCCACTGTGGTTACTGTCCCTGCTTGACAGTCGTCCGAGAGCTTCTCGTTTCTGTGACATAAGCTTTCTTTTTTCTCCCTCTCTCTCTCTCTCTTTTTTTTTTTTTTTTTTTTTTTTTTTTTTTTTTTTAAACTTCTTTTTATTCTCTCTCACTCTCACACACACACTCTCTCTTCTGGTTATCGCCCGTCTACTGTCGCATCGTGACCGTAAGGGCTGCGTGCTTGTCGTTTTCTCCTCGACCCTGGCCTTCTTGACTCGCCACTCTTGCAGCGGCCAGCCTCTTTGAGATACTCACACGACATGGCCGCTTGCTTCCACCAACGTACTTCGCATTTCCAGTGATATCGTGACCATCCCTGTGCGCTCCCTGCTGGGCCAGATCATCCAACCCGACCTCTCCGCGTTTCCTTACTTCCACCGAATCAGTTCGAGTTTCCATACCGTTTCCCTCCCGTAGCTAAAAGGAAGAAAGAACATTATTCTTTCTTTCTTTCTTTTTCTTTTTCTTTTTTCCTTTTTGGCAAGGAAAGAGGGGGTCTGACAAAAGTCCTACTCATCGCACTCGGACCTCGCGGACATCATATGGATCAAGGACCCCCTCGAAGCAGAGAGTAACGAGGAGGCTGAAAGATGACCTCCCCCAACGACAAGCACCTTCCGGCGCTTGCACCTGGCCCGCCAGGTCTTGCCCAACCTAATCTATCAACGCGTCTCGCTCCGGGGCCACGGAAAATCTCGGCGGCTTGTTTGCCGTGCAAGCAAGCTAAAAGAAAAGTGAGTTATTGTTCTGCCGGAAGAGTTCCTGGCAGACAACCTCCATCTCAAGCAACCGATAAAGGGAGAGCAGTATGACCACAAAAGGTCCCTCCCCCGAAATCCAAGTTTGGAACCAAGACCAAGTGGCTGACTTCTGTTCCTTTTGCAGTGCAGTGGACGTCCAGCCCCGTGTAAAGCATGTCGAAATACAGATGCAGAAGCTGATTGTGTTTTCGATCTGACCCTCGACCTTCGCCGCAAAGTTGCCCAGAGACGCACAGTCGATGAACGGGAATATTATCGCAGTGTGTTGTCTTCTCTGTTGGACGAACTTCGCTCGTCGGAACCAGTCAGGATCAACGAACTGGTCAACTTCATACGCAGCGATGCCTCGATGGGTCGGATCGCCACCGTCCTTGCAGATACAACAATCAACCTCGATGATTTCAGTTCGATAAGCCTGGACAACAATCCGAGTGTGGAGAGTGCTATTCAGAGTTTATTCCCGCCGCCAGATCCATGCTTGACAAGTGGATATTTTCGAATAACCCTCGAGAGTCTTGTTGACATACCCTTGTTCCAAGTCCCCGCGAAACCTTGGACCAATGTCACCGATGATGACAATCTTGTCTCCCATCTGATCTCTTTATACTTTACATGGGACCACCCATGCTGGCAGTTGCTGGATCAGAAGGTCTTTCTGTTGCATATGAAGACGGGTGACCTGGAGTCACAATACTGCACACCATTCCTGGTGAACAGTATCTTAGCCATGGCCAGCGTATGTTGCCAATGCTGTTCTGCCTATGCTTTGATACTGATAATTGGCAGCTTTATTCCGATACCCCAGATGTTTTTGCCGTCCCTGGAAATACGGATTCTTGCGGGTCGCACTTCTATATGGAAGCCGAGAGGCTTTGGAGGGCTGAGGAGGGGACCGTGAGCTTGGCGAACATCCAGGGATTGGTTATCATGTGTCATGCGTGAGTAGCCCCAGCGACCCCTATCTCTAAGAGTCGCAGCTGACTTGATGATAGGTTGAAATGCCAGGGAAAGGACGGAGTTAGCTGGCTGACGCTGAGACAAGCTGTACAGCTCGCACAAGATTTTGGCATGTTTCGAGTCCCACCGTTGCATGCAAATTGGGAGGAAATGGACGCAGACATGCAGCGTATTCATGCAACCACTGCCTGGGGGATCTTTGTCATGAATTTGTATGGAACCTTCCGCAAATCCGCCCGAACAATAACTCATTCTCATTAGGGACATGTCTATGGAACTGCACAAGGACGCGAATCTCGGGTTCCCATTGTGCCGGCCTTATACGCCTGACGACCTGAATGACAATATCGCGTGGACCCCTTATCCTCGCTCGAACCAAATCGAATACGCCGAGAAGCCGGGACTTCTCCGTTATGTTGCGACAGAACTCGCCAATCTGACGGAAATCACTGCGAGTAAGCAGCAACTGTTCTTTATGAATGCTTGCCACATGGAGGTCAATGACCTCTGGAGAAGGACTAACCAAATATACTCGCGTCTCCAGCAATGGCGTGAAAACATGCCAGACGTTTTGAAAATTGACAGTTACCCTGTCCCGCAAGTACTGTTTCTTCAGTAAGAGCCTTATATCCCCAACACCCGCCGATTTTCGTAGTGACGTGCTGATCCGCGTGGTCTGAAATATCACCAGGAGATATTGTCATTGTTCAATGCCTTTGTGGGTTATAAGGGCCTAGACAGCCCGTCACGTCCAGCCTGGTTCGAACAAAGCAGACTAACCCGCCTTCAATCGGCCAAGGATATCTCCCGATGCTTCGGCGTCCTGCGACTATCCTATGGGTATAAGCGGATACCCAGCCACATGCTCGAGGCGGCGGGCACTAGTCTTGCTGTAGTGATGAGCGACTTGACGAACGAGGAATCCGGGAACGCGTTTTTTGAGCTTTGTCGGATCGTAGTGGTGTTCGGAAAACGATTAAAACAAGCCAAGCGCATGATTCCGAGAATTCTCTCGATTGCGCAGCAGTCGGGAATCATCTTACCACCAGAGGCAGTGTTGATTCTTGAATCGGGTTTATGACTCCTGACGCGCTCGTGAGGTTCGATTGTTGTCCCCCCCCCCCTTCCTCCCCCCCACTCATGTTGATATGCTTGGGCATGTAGCCAGCTAACACTTACCTGCTGTGCTCCACGAACCAGACTTGCCGACCCTCGCCGAATGACGAAGTAGGTGCCTTCATTCGGCTGGAAATCATTTCCGGGAAGCGCCACAAATCGGGGCAAGTCACCACCGCAGCAACCCTGGTGCCTTTACAGAGTACAGGAGTGTGGACGCATTAATATTGACGGACGCGTCTGGTACTTTTCTCAGTTGCAATTGAATTCGCTGGACAGTCCCCTGCTTGGTTTGTATGGGCGATGAGCGATGAGCGATGAGAGATTATCTATGCGGTATCAGAATGCATTAGACGGGATAGGACAGATACGGCTACGATTCCCGGGTGCATTGTGTGCTGCCACCTACCACTTATTCAGTTTCAAGCTATATAGCATAGCAGTTAATAGAAAGAAATGCTAGTATGATATTTTCGGGTAGTCTATTCGGGTCCCATGGAGGACATGGCGCTGTCCTTAGCGATTACCTTCTAGTACATATGCAGTGGTTGTATTACCATGCTCTATAGACTGCGTGCACCGTGATTCTTGAATTCAAGTCCACAAGATTCTGATGTGATGTCAGTCTGTCATCAATTCTGTATAGCTAACGTAATCCACCACCGAGTCGGCCACACACCCCCGAGCCACCTGTGTATTACATATAAAATGGCATAGTTATTTTAGAACCTCAATATTTCAACCAACATTATAGTTGTACTGTTAGAGTTCATATATCCTTATATATATATATACTATAGAATGCCTTCATATTTTACTTAGAATTTTTAGAAATTTCTATAGCTTATAATATAGTATTATGTCTAATACAGCTGTATTTCAAGACCTTCCAATGTGACTTAAAAGTAACCAGGCATATTAAAAGCTTTTGGACCTGGCGCCTGCATATTTACCATAATATATCTCTATGTTTTAACTTTCAAGCCCTATCAATATGTTATTATTGAGATATTGAGGTTCTAAAATGTGCCATTTTATATGTAATACACAGATCGCTCGGGCACTGGCTCGGGGGTGTGGCCAACTCGGTGGTGGATTACGTTAGCTAGTTAATTGTATAGCTGACTCATCCAAGTCTTATGCACAGATAAGATAGCACAAATCCGCCCAAGCGAAAACCCTCAAAATTCAAACTCCGCCGGCACCATCGAAATCCCACCGACGCCGAAGACCCCCTCCACCGTCCACTTCACGTCGATCCACGAACGAAAACGAGGAACGTCCTCTCGAAGAACCGAATCCCTCACCACCTATCCCTTTTATCTCCTTCTTCAAGCCAACATGTCCTACGAGGAGCGCGCCAACGCGCACCCCAACCTGGGCGATGAGTCCGACGTTGAGGAGGAAGCGCTCGTCAACGACTACCGCGAGCAGGTCAACTTCGACGATGAAATGAGTGACTTGGACCGCACGACATCGATCGACGCTGCCTCGCAGGCGCCGGATCTTCAGGCGCAGTTGGCTGCCGCGGCGACCCCGCTGGAATACCAGGCTACGCTGGAGACCAAGTTTGCGAGCTATGACAACTACTGCAATTTGTTCCATTACATCTTGAACTCGGATGGGCCGGTTGATTTGGAAGTTCCTTCTGTATGTGATCTTGTGTTGTTGTTTTTGTCTTTGTCTTTGGAGATGTTTTTCCATTCCGGGCTTTGTTGTGTTGTGGGAGTTGAGGAATCAGGCTAATATGTTTGTTTGGTGATAGTACTACTGGGCTTGGGATGTTATCGACGAATTCATCTACCAGTTCGAGTCGTTCTGCCGCTACCGCAACCGTGTCGCCCGCAGCGGTTCCAACGAGGAGGAAGCACAGCTCCTGCGGGAGAACCCCAACACATGGGGCTGCTACTCGGTTCTCAACGTCCTGTACTCCCTTATCCAGCGTTCGCAGATCAATGAGCAATTGGCCGCCATGAAGCGGGGCGAGGACCCCATGACCGTCGCCGGCGAGTACGGTTCCCGCCCGTTGTACAAGATGCTCGGATACTTCTCGATCATCGGACTGCTCCGTGTCCACTGCTTGCTGGGTGACTTCAGCCTTGCCCTCAAGACCCTCGATGACATCGAGATGAACAAGAAGGCCATGTTCGCCCGCGTCATGGCCGCCCACTTCACCACCTACTACTACGTGGGTTTCTCGTACATGATGATGCGCCGGTACGGCGACGCCATCCGCATGTTCAGCCACATCCTGATCTACGTCTCGCGCACCAAGAACTTCCAAAAGGGCGGCAACAGCTACGACGCCATCGCCAAGAAGAACGACCAGATGTACGCCCTCATCGCCATCTGCGTCGCCCTGCACCCCACCCGTCTCGACGACACCATCCACTCCGCCCTCCGCGAGAAGTACGGCGACCAGCTCACCCGTCTCCAGCACGGCGGCCCCGAGGCCCTCCCCCTGTTCGAGGAACTCTTCCGCTCCGCCTGCCCCAAGTTCATCAGCCCCACCCCGCCGGACTTTGACAACCCGGCCATCAACGTCGACCCCGTCGACCACCAGACCTCCATCTTTATGGACGAGGTCAAGAACACCCTGTTCAACCCAACCATCCGCTCTTACCTCAAGCTGTACACCTCCATGGACCTTAAGAAGCTCGCCGGTTTCCTCGAAGTCGAGCCCGAGAAGCTCCGCTCGTGGCTGCTGGTCAACAAGCAGCGCAGCCGCCAGATCCGCTGGGTCGAGGGCGGTCTGCTCGAGGGTGAAGTCGTCAGCGCCAACGACCTCGACTACGCCCTGGAGAACGACCTCATCCATGTTAGCGAGACCAAGGCCGGCCGTCGTCTGGTGGACTGGTACCTGCGGAACCTTGCCCGAGTGTACTAAAACCGGTCACGTCTCCTCTTTTGCTTCTATTAATTCTTCTTCTTTTGTTGGAAAAGTTTTCTTTCACCGGAATCGGATGAAATATGCATAACGTTTCTTGCTTCATATGAATATGGGTATGGAGTTCAAACAGTCATGGGGAGGACGTGGTGGCCCATGAAGGCTCGACCGGAGTGACGGATCAGGATATACCAGGGGCGACACGGGAGAAACTTGGGGGTTTCAGTGAAGAGTGAAGAAAAGAGATGAAGAGTTGGGATTGTTTGATTGAATTTAATTATGCTTTTTTGACAATAATTTTTTTCTCTGTGTTTGCATGATGTCCCATTTTCTGTTTTTGAATCTCCTGTCTATCTTCTTTTCAATATATCGTTGTTTTCTTGTTACATAGCTTGAGCTTAGGGCTGGTTATCTGTCTAGACTAGCTAGAGAAGGAATGCTCAATACCCTTCTCCTTGACCTGGTATGTAGAATGGGGTATATAGACATTTCTATCCTACGGAGTACATTGACTAATATAAATACAACCAACTGCCTTCAACAGATCAACACAATCAAAGACTAACATCAAAACTCGTCCCACACCCACAATTACTCGACGCCCGCGGATTATCCACAATCTTAAACTGACTCCCAATCAACTCCGTCGTATAATCCACCGTACTCCCCGACAACAACTCCAGCGACGGCTCATCCATAACAACCAGTGCCTCGCCGCCTTCGGGGCCAGATTTAGCGTCCGCTTCGAAAACGGTGTCTTCTTCGGCGTCGATTTTCGACATGGCTTCGAGCGACATCATGTATTGGAAGCCGTGGCAGCCGCCGGAGGTTACGGTGATGCGGAGGTGGTGGTAGGGGTTTTCGGTCTTTGTGGGGGTGGGGGAGGTGGTTGAGTCTGTGATTTCGCGGAGGCGCTGTTTTATTATCACGTTAGCTTTGTTTTGTTTGAGGTTATGATGGGATGAAAGCGATGCTTGTTTTTGGCTGGCGTGTGGCTTAAGTTGGCTGAGCGGGGAGCCATATTTCACATCTGTCTGTAGCCGTACGTAGCATATGAGTTATACCGGACAGGGCATTCTTTTCTCTGTCCTTAAGAAATGATGTTCTGCTCCTGTCTGGTATACCACACCTCGCCACAGTGCACCAAACTCCCGGACAGCCATACCCAACCACCCGCCTCCATGGTATGTAGACAAAGGTTTTCCGGGAAGTAGACAGTAACGTACCTCCGCAGCCCTCTCCGAAATCCCAACCATAAACGGCTTCCCCTCCTCATCATTCCTCGCATTCTGCACAACCTTGGCAGACAGACGGATAGTCGACGACGAAAACGCGCGGTGTCGCGGCACACTGAAAGAAGAAATATTCACTCTGCGAAGAGTATACCGGCTTGGACGAGTCGATGCATGTAGGGAAGTCGCATTGGCGTCGGCATTGTAAATCGACGAACTTCGGGTGATGGGCTCGGATGATGCGGAGAAGAACCGGGTGGTTGAAAACGGGCGTTGGCAGTGCGCTGTTGATTGTTGCAGGCGGCGCGTTGCTGATGAAAGGACTGGACGCGACATGTTTTCGGTTTTCAGGATAATCTGGTTTTGTAGGTGTAATGGTGTTGGTGAAATTACCGTGATTATATATCGGCGATTTGGATATTTCCGTTAGTCAGAGGGTTCGACATGACGTTATTGGTCGATCCGCCGCCACATCTTAGAGGGGCAGCTTTATCTTTGGGATAATGCTTTGACAGGATTTTGACAGGGATATCAGAGAATGGCTGCGCAAATACCCTACTCTAAGCAAGAAGCTGAGTCTCGCGATGCGCAGGATCCTCTACGTTCGTTTCGCGAAGAGTTCATCATTCCATCGCGGAAGGACCTCCAGCGAAAGACGCTGGCCGTTGAGGGTAGGCCAGTTCACATCCCAATTTCCTATATCCTACTAACTCCAGCAGAAACCGACACCTCAGAACCAAGCATCTACCTCTGCGGCAACTCCCTAGGCCTCCAACCCCGCAACACCCAAAAGTACATCGAATACTACCTCCGGACATGGGCAACCAAAGGCGTGACCGGACACTTCACCCCCCACAACGACCAATTACTCCCTCCGTTTGTCGATGTCGATGATGCTGGCTCGAAACTTATGGCGCCTGTCGTTGGTGCGTTGCAGAGTGAAGTTGCTGTTATGGGGTCGTTGACGGCGAATATCCATGTATTGCTGGGGAGCTTTTATCGGCCGACGGAGGAGAGGTTCAAGATTATTATGGAGGGGAAGGCGTTTCCGAGTGATCATGTGCGAACCCTTGTGTCTGGAGTACGGATGGACTGCTAACAGGATGAAGTAGTATGCCATCGAGTCGCAAATTCAGCTTCACGGTTTCAATCCGGACGACGCCATGGTATTGATTGAGCCGGAGAACCGCGAGTTTCCGACTTTGAGCACCGAGAAGATCATGCAGGTAATTGATGAACATGCCTCTAGTACGGCTCTGCTGTTCCTTTCCGCGATTCAATTCTACACCGGGCAGTATTTCGAGATTGAGAAGATCACGGCCTATGCTCGTTCGAAAGGTATACTGGTTGGCTGGGACTGTGCTCACGCAGCTGGTAATGTTGACTTGCGATTGCACGATTGGGATGTCGATTTTGCGACGTGGTGCAACTACAAATACCTCAACAGTGGACCCGGAGGGATGGGTGCCATCTTTGTTCATGAGAAGCATGGACAGGTGAATGCGGACAAGGTCGGTACTGAGGAGGAATTCCGGCCAAGGCTTGCTGGCTGGTGGGGAGATGATAAGGGCAGACGTTTTCTCATGGAGAATAGTACGAACCCTCCACTCATTCTCCGCTTTGTAGATTCTAACTCGTGTCAGAATTCGTGCCGCAACCAGGTGCAGCCGGATACCAGCTGTCTAACCCATCCGTCCTCGACATGAACGCAGTCGTCGCATCCTTGGAACTCTTCAACCGAACCACAATGGCCGATATCCGTAAAAGATCATTGGCACTGACCGGATACCTGGAACATCTGCTACTGACCTACCCTATCGACTCTCTCGCAGAGAGACCTTTTAGCATCATCACACCGTTGAATCCAGCAGAACGCGGTGCTCAGCTGAGTCTACGTCTGAAACCAGGTCTTCTCGACAGCGTGTTGGAGTCGTTGGAGGAACACGCCATCGTAGTTGATGAGAGGAAGCCTGATGTCATCCGTGTTGCGCCGGCTCCTTTGTACAATACGTATGTGGAGGTTTGGGGATTTTGCCAGGTATTTTTGAACGCGTGTGTGAAGGCTGCCAAGGCATAGAACTGTCTCTGCTAAACATTATCCATTCTGCCATGAACCTTGCTACGTGCAACATCTTGCGCAACACATGATACATAGTATTCACACTATTTAGCCAAACGCAAAAGAGGCCCGTTCCAGCGGTTGCCGTTCCGACTCCCAAGCCAACCAATCCGACCTCGTAGTCCTGTCCACCGTCAGTAACACATCCACAGAGAACAAGGGCAAGGAGTACATACGGCAAAAGCCCCATAGCATTAACCTTCCACACCCCCAACGCCAACAGCCCAAACTGCACCAACACATAAACCGCCTTCACACCCAGCAACTTCTTATGCGTCCCCTCCGTGTCGAACTTGGCAAACACCGTATTCGTATTAATCAATCCCTGAATAGGCCCCTTAAACAACATAAATACCATCATGATACTGAAGATCTGTAGACTGTTTCCGGACATGTACATCATGATCGCGTTCATGGGGAGTTGCTTTGACGGGGCCATGGCGATTTCCCAGGCTTTCTTGACCTTGAGGGCGTCGGTTTCGATGGGTTTGGAGGGAGTGGTCGTTTGGTTCTGTTGTTGCTGCTTTTGGGTTTGCTAAAGCGATCATCAATTAGTATCCTGCTTGCTGTGGTTTGCCTCAAAGAAACGTACAGGCTTAGCTCTGGAAAACCCAGGTGGATCGGGGATGTTGGCTGCGGCCTTGGACGGACGAGACAAAGGGGTGTTGAGCGAGACCACCCATCGCGGTGGTGGAGGGGGGTCGAATCCAGGCTGCGAAGCTTTGTCTGCCATTGCGATAGCTGTCGATAAGAACGTGGTGGTAAAGCTTGGTGGTGGTGGTGCAGAATAAGGTGGTGATCTGGAAGCGGCCCCGACCCAAGCGCGCGGAGTTGGCGGCAAGCCGATCCCATCCGCTCCTTTTTGGGATTCGACCAAGACTACTGTACTTGTACCTCTATATTACGCTTCAGTTCTCTCCTTTCCTTAACGTCGCGTGGACTACTACGGTACAGCTAATTGATTTATCGCTCCTTATTTCTTTCATTACGCTCACTCTTTATCATTTAATCCGGAGTGGCGTCGTTCTCCGTGACCTTCGAGTTGAAACCCCCGAACGGGAATGGACGATTCAGAACCAGCGTAACTGAAGACAGATCGCGAAAGACCACATTTTCCCTTTTCTTGATTTCGGCCGGACGTCCGCATATCCATACAGAGACACACGATCCGCGCTTGCGATCTGTACAACGATTGAACCCCCGCCGCCTCGAAGTAACAAAAGAACAGTGATTTACCGTTTCGCAAAGTCACAATGAGTTCCGGGGGAGATGCAAAGTTATTCGCGAGGGTACGTTGGAATACTCCCCCTATCATTTGTCGTATGGCTGCATAGTTCGGATTGGGGGTTGGGGGTTGGATTGGGGATTGAGATCTGGCGAGGGAACGATAGGATGTCCGTATGGGGCATTTTTCATCCCTCGTGTGATTATGGCTGGTGACACGGATTAAATCTGGTGTGTTGCCTGTGGTTCTTATATAGCTTCAAGGAGCTGTGTTGTCACTGGTCTTGATTCTGACAACAAGCAACCCCCCTTTCCAAACCATACCTATGTTGGCCGGATTAGCACCCGGATTGGTACCTCTTACGAACAATCATGACTCACTACGTGTTGCTCTCTCACAGGGAAAAGTCGCAGAGCTGCGCCAGGAGCTCAGCAGCGGTGGCAAGAAGGACAAAAATTACTCGGCCAAAAAGATCGCCCTCAAGAAGATCGTGGCCAACATGACCATGAGCAATAACGATATGATCGCATTGTTTCCGGATGTCATTGGGTGTATGAATCTGCCCAGTTTAGAGATCAAGAAGATGTATGCGTTGCGATGCGGTTTATTAGAACAATGGCTGATCTGTGCAGGTGCTTTTTGTTCTTGGTTAACTACTCGAGGATGAAGCCTGATGTGGCGATGAAGGCTTTGCCGATCCTGGTTGATGTACGTTGGCATCCTCCGCATGGAAGTGAAATGCTAATGGTTGCAGGACATGGAAGATTCTAACCCCCTGGTCCGCGCATTGGCTTTGCGCACCGTTTCGTACGTCCATGTTCGGGAGTTTGTCGAAGCAACTATTCAACCTGTCAAACGCCTGATGGGCGATATGGATCCTTACGTCCGCAAAACCGCCGCATTTTGTGTCGCCAAGCTTTACGAGCACGACAAGAAGATGGTGGAGAGCTCAGATTTGATCGATCGATTGAATCGAATGCTCAAGGACGAGAACCCCACGGTTGTTTCCAGTGTTCTCGCCTCGCTGACGGATATCTGGGGACGAAGTGAAACCATCTCCTTGACGATCGACTACAACAGTGCATCGAAATTGGTGTCTATTCTTCCTGACTGCTCTGAGTGGGGCCAGTCATACATCCTCGAAGCCCTTATGTCGTACGTACCGCAGGACTCGGCAGAAGCATTGCTGCTCGCTGAACGAATTGCCCCACGACTATCTCACTCGAACTCCGCAGTTGTTCTCACTTCTATCCGTGTCATCCTGTACCTCATCAACTACATCGCGGACGAAAGACACGTTAACTCGCTGTGCAAGAAGTTGTCGCCGCCTCTCGTTACCTTGCTTTCGAAGCCCCCGGAGGTGCAATACTTGGCTCTTCGAAATGCCATCCTAATCCTGCAGAAGAGGCCGGAAGTCCTCCGGAACGATATCCGGGTGTTCTTCTGCAACTACAACGACCCGATTTACGTCAAAGTGACCAAGCTCGAATTAATCTTCATGTTGACCACCCAGGAGAATATCTCCGTGGTGCTTGCGGAGTTGCGGGAGTATGCGACTGAGATTGACGTGCACTTCGTACGAAAGGCCGTTCGGGCCATCGGGAAGCTGGCCATCAAAATCGAGTCTGCGGCACGGGAATGTATCGACACGCTGTTGGAATTGGTCAACGCCAAGGTCCCATATATCGTGCAGGAAGCAACCGTGGTGATCCGCAACATCTTCCGCAAATACCCCAACCAATACGAGAACATCATTGGCAACGTTATCCAGAACATCGACGATCTGGACGAGCCTGAAGCAAAGGCGGCTATCATTTGGATCATCGGACAGTATGCGGATCGAATCGAGAACTCGGACGGACTTCTTCAAGACTACCTGGCAACATTCCACGACGAAACGGTCGAGGTGCAGTTAGCCCTACTCACAGCAACCGTCAAATTCTTCATCCAACGCCCAACCAAGGGCCAAGAACTCGTCCCTCAAATCCTGAAATGGTGCACCGAGGAAACCGACGATCCTGACCTCCGAGACCGTGGCTACATGTACTGGCGTCTCTTGTCAACAGACCCCACCACAGCCCGGAACATAGTAATGGGCCAAAAACCACCCATCAGCGCAGAAAGCGAAAAACTCGACAGCCGCACCCTCGAAGAACTCTGCCTCAACATCGGCACCCTCGCCACCGTCTACCTCAAACCCATCCAGCAAGTCTTCCGCAGCGCCCGCAGCCGCCGTCTCCAATACAGCCCGGCGCTCCAAAAACCCCGCGACCAGAACGGCAACAGCAACCCCATGCTGCAATTCAACCCAGCCCCCAACACCCCGCTCGCCTCTAACCCAACCGGCACCGCCAACATCACAACCACCGCCCCAACCCACCTCAGCACTTCCTTCCCCAACCCCACGGACCCATCCGTCATCGCGCCCTCCCCGATAACCGGCCTCGGCCCCGACGCAGCAGACATGAACGCCGCCGTCAGCGCAGCAGACGTCTACTTCAACGGCGTCGGCAACCAGCAAATGGCAGCGATGGATCTAGGCGGACGCAGCGGCGACGACGGCGACGGCGTCGCAGGCGGCGGCGGCGCATTGGGATCGCAGTATGTGGTGAATCAGAACCAGCAGTCGGTTTATCAGCCGCAGTTGGCGGGTGGTGCGGCGACGGGGGAGTTGTTGTTGCTGTAGCGTCGCCTTTTCCGCGGGGTTTGCATTTGCATAAATTTGTTTCTTCTTGATGCTGTTGACAAGTATGTGTGTTTTGTAATGTGTTGGATTTGGTGCAGATTGTTTTGTTGTTTGTTTGTTGTGATACCTCGACGTACTAGTATACTATACTACCAATGTATGTATAAATAATACAATTTATTCTGAGTAACTTTTAACTCTTCTATGCTGCATTATGAATATTTGAGTTGTATTATTTGCATGTCGTCAGGTTTGCTTGCGATATATATCCCGAACACACAACGCCCCGCACCACTCTTAGGGCGACTCACCGTCTGACATTAATTGATTCAACCACTGTTATCATAATTTTAAAGAAATAAACCAACAGTTTCCGAAATAGTATTTAGCAAGAGCATCCAAGCACCTCAAATCTTTCTAAATAAAAATCATTACAAGAACACATTTGATATTTACAGTTTCCAGCCATAAACCCATGGTATCGTATCCATCCCTCTATAAACAGATGACATGATATGTACAGAGTACACTACCGGTATACGTACCTACGTCTTCGGATCGGTTACTTCCCATCCTCATTCTCAATAACATACCCCCACTCATGCTCCTCCTTGCCATACATAATAGCCCCCAGCCACAACTTGATCTGCGCGGCGTATCCGGCGCGCTCGACACCGGCCTCGAGCATGTTCATGTCGACGTCGCCGTTGCGGATGATTTGCACGGGGGCGATGAAGTACTGCTCTGTCAGCAACCTGAGTTCAAATGGGATGTTAAGGGATAAGGGGGGGGCTTACGGCAGTCCCAGACACAAAAGCCTCGATGATTCTGCCCTCTTTCCAGGCTTCTTCGACCTCGCCAATAGTAAATGGTCTCTCGACAACATCAACAGGAGGTAGCCCCGTCGCCGAAGGCGAAGACAACCGCTCCCTCGCAAGCTCAAGCACACTCCGTCTCGTAACACCCGGCAAAATCACCTGACTCTCCAACGACGCCGTGACCAACTCCCTCCCCCCCTGCTTGTTCTCCCACACAATGAAAAAATTACTAGCCCCCGCCTCCGTAACCTGCCTCTCCTCCCCAAACAACCAAAGCACCTGATCAAACCCCTGCCCCGTCGCGACGCCATGCGCCGCAAGACTAGGCCCGTAGTTCGCGCCTAGCTTCGCGTACCCGAAACCGCCGGGCCAGGCGCGGATTGTGTCCGGTGTGGAGGCGAGGAGTTTCAGGCCAGAGGGATTGGAGGACATGTCGGGCCAGGGAACGGCGATGATGAAGAGGAGGGCTTCTTTGGGGGCTTGGACGCCGAGCTGCGTGCCATTGCCAATGACCGTGGGGCGGATGTAGAGATAGCGACCGAGTTGGTCTTTGGGGAGCCAGCCTACAATCTGTCAGTACCCTGTACCTAGCCAAATAAAGTAAAGAGGGGGGGGGGACTCACGCGGCCCATCAATCTGCAACAACCTCCCCACCAACTTCTTCACCTCCCCCGGCGCAAACCCCGGCAACGAAGTCCTAACCGCACTATTCGCAAGTCTCTCCCCATTACAATCGGGCCTGAAAAGGCGTAACTTCCCATCATATCCGCGATACGCCTTCATACCCTCAAAGCACTCGGTAGCATAGTGCAGACACGACGCCGTGGGCGGGATACTCAGGTTCTCGAAGGGGCGGATTTCAGGTGTTTGCCAGCCGGATTCGACGGTCCAGCGGACTGTCACCATGTGATCGGTGCAGTAGGAGTGGGATTTTTCCTCTGGGGAGCCGATTGCTGGGACGGGGCGGAGGTGCGTGCTGGGGGTGAAGTTGATGGTGGAGGCGTCGAGGTTGGGGGTGATGGAGCCCATGTTGCCGGTTACTCTGTGAGTGTTAATTGAGGCAATGGCAATTGAGTGTAGAGGAAAGAAAAGAAAAGAAAAGAAAGAGAGAGAGAGGAAGTGACTCAATTTATGGTTCGGTCCGGGGGTTGCCGTTTTGGTGAAATTGCCGGATATCTTATCGATAACAGAATTTTTCTCCAGTTTTACTTCACTGCTTTGCTATTTTCATTCATTCCTATTTACTGTATGCTATCTGTTATTCTAATTTCAATTATACTATTGTACACGTCTTGATTCAATCGCCGTGGTATTGTATTGTACTGTCTGATTTTTCTCTTTCCCGTGTCTTCCCCAAGACTCCGATGCTAACCGCAGTGAATATCACGCCCTACTTCATACTCCGTGTACACCCTACGCTACGCCCTACGCCTTGACTGGGATCGGCTATTGTCAGATGTAGGGTTACACTGCTAACGGTTGTCATATATACAGGCATTGGGTTGATAAGTCTTCTAGGAGAGATAGTGACTACCAGACACCGAGCAATATAATCCTTTTATTTCACTCACATATACAAATGGCAACAGGCCCCGACCAGTCGGTAGCCTCCAGAATCCGAAATCTAAATACAAGATGGATATGACTATGTAAACAGGATAAAAAATGTCAAACCAATTCCATCACCCAAGACAAGACAAGACAGACCTAGACTCCGGAGATGCAATCACATTGAATCATGACAAACAAACAAACAAACAAACAAAAAAAAAAAAAAAAGACAAAAACGAAAGATGAGAATGAATCAAGAACCCAATGGTTTTTCCCTAACCTGCGTGGCCCCCGGATTATTCAACGTCGACGTCGAAGTAGACCCTCCCGATCCTGACACCGCCGTAGAAACAGAAGTCGACTCGACAGCATGCTCTTGCACGGGAGTTGTCTTATTCTCAGCCAAACTATCCTCAGATCCATTCTGCGTCTGCGCCTGCGCCGCCGCATTCTGGGCCTTTGTCTTTGACCGTCGCCAGTAAATAACAGTGACATAAATCAACCCTATAGACGCGCAGATAATGCCATACGCAATTGGTGACGCAGGGGGGATATTCGGGTTTTTGCCGATGGCGTAGTGGAATCCCACGCCTCCATTAATGATGCCCAATGCTATGAGAAAGCGTCCGAGATAGCGATGCATGACGCCCCAGATCGTTTTGAGTCCGTATTTGCGGAAGCGCAGATGCTGGATTATACCCATGATGGGCATCAATACTGCAACGCCGAGGACGGCGATATGTCCCAGCAGCGGGTGATAGTCGCTACCCTCTTGGAGATCATGCGCGACGGAAAACCCAATGGCGTACCCGGCTAGAGCCAGAGCAACGGCGAAGATCTGCAAGGGAGCGTGGATGGCGGGGACTGTCCAGCGGGAGGGGAGGATGTAGAGAGTCAGTGCGAAGTTAGGGAAGAGCAGGACGAAGGCGACGGAGGTGATGACGCCGTGCGCGATGCGTTTCTTGTGGAGTCTTGCATCGCTGATTTGCTGTTGTGGGGATTTAAATGTGTGGTCGATGATTGTGTGTGAGGAGACGAGGAAGGGGTTCTCTGTTTTCCCCCCGACGCCTTCGGTTAGGTTTAGTGTGAAGATGCCGTGCCAGTCGTGCTGGGGGATCGGATGGGTGACGTTCGACGACATGATGGGTTCGCCGTGCGCCATGGCCCAGATCCAATCACTATGGGGACCGAGGATCGGTCGACCATCGAATAAACGCATGCAATTATTGCACTGAATATTAGCCGTCATATTCCCATGATGAAACCCCGAGCCGTCGAGCAAAAATGCATCAACGGTGGAATTATATTTCGGCTCGACGTGATCCTTCGCCTGTCGCGTTGAGAGAGTGATATTCCCGCCTACACCGGCATACACGATGAATAAATTCCCATCGACCATGCGGGCACCTTGTCCCAGGGCTATCCACTGGATAGGAGGGGGCGCTGTTAATTGGAAGAAGATGGGGCCGGATCCATTGACGGCTGTGCGTTGGGGGATGTTGATTGAGTATGAGATCCCACTACCTTCGGAGGGGCTGTAGGAGATGATTTGCCCGAGGATGGGTGTAGCTAAAGTAATTAGCATTTGCATTGACTCTTCCGATAAGGAGACGTACCATAGGCCAGGGCAGTGGCCAAAAAGGAGAGTAATTTCATGATCAGTGTACAAAGGAGTGAGAAGTATGTGCAGTGATATGCGTCAAAAACAATGCATAGATCTAGATTGTTAGCATGCTACTCCATAGACATGGATAACGAGGTACCATACCTATACAGTGGCAAACCAAAATGCCCTACGCCAGAGCACCGCGATCTGCATGACAATAAAATAAAACAGCGGTAAGAAAAGCTCTAGAAAACCAGAAGACCCAAACGAAAGACATGAGATCAGCGCAGTGGCAGCAATGACAACAGCAGTGGGTGGTGGTGGGCGTATAATAAATGCAGTGGCAGCCCGTAAAAGGAGCTGGTCAGTGCAGTCCCCAAACAGAAATGGGCCCGAATCCGCAAACTTTTTTCTTGGAGAGTCTCTTGTCCTGGCTTGGCCGGAGGTGTTGCCACTTTGATTTGTATGCAGTTTTTTTTCTTTATCTTTTGTTCACACACTCTATTCAAGCGCTGTACAGTATATAGAGAATACCATTGCATTGTACTATTCTACTCTGTATTGTCTGTAAGACTACTACGGAGTATCCCCCTATCGATCGGAGCAGGTGAGTCAGCGGAACTATTTCGCCAATAACATAACCTTACTAGACCGTTGTGCCGAGAGTATACGCGATACGGAGAAGCCGGAAAGCGGATGTGAGACGAGACACTCGCCAAATAGCTTCTATTATTATGTTCCCTGTGGCTGTTATTCGTGGTATACTAATGTCCGACGCGTCATGGATGGAGTCGCCAAGGATTATCGAATTGCCGAGACACGTGAGTTCCACTTGCATTACTACTAACATTGGCATTAGTTACATACATCGTTATGCATTGCATTGAGCATCACATTTATAGTACGGAGTACTGGTAGCTACTTTGTCTTCTCCAGAATGGTCTTCATCATCTCGTTGCCCAGCCGAGATGCCTCGGGGAATCTTGGCGCAAAGTACTGCTGGATCCGCTCGAATCGGTCCCGGTACGATTCGAAATCGCCAAATGAAACGCAGTCGGACCATGCCTGTGTGTGTTAGTCTTCAACCATTTCCATTTCAGGTCCTAGGGAAACAAAAGGCATACCCGCGCAGCAAACGTAAACTCCAGATCATCCGAACGGAACGTGCTATCATCACACGCCGTATCCAGCGCTTCATCAAGCAATTCCGGATTGCGAAAGAGGTACTCCGTCACGCCCAGCCAGAGACGGAATAACTGTTAACACATCAGTAACCCCATATACTCCGTACCTATAGCTGAGAAAAAGACATACCGGCGTCGAACATATCATATGATCATACGGCACAATCCCCAACTTCCACCAACAATCCACAATCGCCAACAAACTCAGATGATTATTCGGCGGACTCTCCTCACGATGCCGATTCGACAGCGAAAACCGATCCAGTACCTCATCCTTCAACAATAAATCTTGCCCCTTCGTCCCAGCCTGGAACACATACTCCCCGGCCGCTTTCACTCGCTTCTTCAACTCATCCCGCTGTCCCTCAATCATAAGCTTGTACAACTCCGTCACGGACTCGGCGTACTGCCGGATCTGCGCTTTGGCGGCTGGGTTGAGGATCGCGAGACCCGCGTAGACGTGCCATTTGTTCGAGTAGATGCGTAGCGTGATGTTGATCTTGACGTTTTCGATGCCGCCGACCCAGCGTGACATATCCCATGGGAATTGGTTGTTGGCTTGCCAGGCTGTGCCCATGCTTAGGAAGGCGGCGTGGGTGACGGCTTGGGTGTCGGCGGTGATGCGGTCGTGCATTTCGCCCGAGAGGTAGACATATTTCGAGCCGAAGCAGGAGAGGGCGTTTTCGACAAAGTGGAGGCTTTCGTCGGAGGCGCGGTGTTGGATGAGGACCTGACTGCATTAACGACCGTTTCTTCATACAGAGGAGTGCAAAGACGTACCAATGGCTGTCCATTAGGATTCACCTTTGGCCCATGCAGCGAATGGCACGATACAATCTCTACATCCGGGGGCAAGTGTTTGTCAAACGCGGCTAGCTCCGGGGCCTTGCACGACGTCTGTCCTCCAACGATAGCGCCGACCTTGGTGGCTGTTCAAGTTAGACCAAGACCAAGACCGATACGAACAGGAACATACACGGTCCATACTGGGCGACTACCCGGTCGATAATGCCCGCCTCTACACTGTATAGAATGAAATCGCTAATTCTTGAAACCAAGTGTCCATTCGGTAATACTGTGACACCTTTCTATATACATACAATGAGCCTATGAACGGCGTAGCCCGGAGACGAGCACGAGCACGACATACTTGAGTGTCAAATTCTTGTTTCAATTCTTCATATTTTTCTGGTACATCGCATGCGTTAATCCTTTTACTGTCAGTCCGACATTTCCCAATTATTATTATAAGCGTATCTGTAATCTAACCGGATAGTTAGCATCGGTTCGAAACGTATTCCAGCAAGAATAAACAAGTAAAGAAAACAGTATCAGACAAAGAAAAGTAAGGTAGCTGAGATTTTACATCATCGACGACCTGGCGAACAGTCATACCAGAAAGGCGGACAAGCCCACCAGGCCGTGCTCGAGCCAAATGCACTCAAGTCATCATGTAATAAACGACGGGGATAACAAGGAGAGGAGTCTTACCTTAAAAGAAAGGAACTCGCGTAGAGTAAGAGAGCATTACCTCCATCCCGCTGCACTTAGTCGTTGGGCATACAGCTTGCCCATGTCTCCCATTCCGATGATGCCAATGCTGGCATTTTCCCTTGTGAGAACCATCCTGATGTACTGCAGACCGGCTGCGAGCAATGCAGTCAAATCAAATTGCTTGATGTCGAATGAAGACAACACTGGTCTAGGAGAAGCAAGGGAAAGAAATTTTCTTAAATAGACGCTGACAGTCAGCACTCACCGCTCCGGCCCGACTCCAGCTTCCGTTCTGCCGGATATACTCCCTCGCTTGAGAATCCCTCCCGCCTTTGAACAACCAATCAGAGGCGGTGAACCCCGTCTAGGGCACACACCCACTTTTCTATCCAACTTTCTTTTGAGTCTGTTGTTCTTCTTCCTCTTCTCTTCTTTCCATATTCCATCCCACAACCGACAATCGCAATGCCTCCCAAGAAGACCCCCGGCGCCGGCGCCGCCGCCAAGGAGAATGTCACTCTCGGTCCTTTGGCCGGTGATGGTGCGTATTCTGCGTTTTAAGCATTGTGAGTGCCAGCAGCTAACAGAACACAGGCAAGCTCGTTTTCGGTGTTGCCCGTATCTTTGCCTCTTTCAACGACACCTTCGTCCACGTTACCGATCTGAGGTTCGCGACTCTACAATGAACAATCAAACCGGACAATTGCTAATAAAAAAAATCAGTGGTCGCGAAACCATCTCCCGTGTCACCGGTGGTATGAAGGTCAAGGCTGACCGTGACGAGTCCTCCCCCTACGCCGCCATGTTGGCCGCCCAGGACGTTGCTACCCGCTGCAAGGAGCTCGGTATCAACGCTCTGCACGTCAAGATCCGCGCCACTGGTGGTACCGGCACCAAGACCCCCGGTCCCGGTGCTCAGTCCGCCCTCCGTGCCCTCGCCCGTTCCGGCATGAGAATCGGCCGTATCGAGGACGTCACCCCCATTCCTTCCGACTCTACTCGTCGCAAGGGTGGTCGCCGTGGTCGTCGTCTGTAAGCATGTGCGGGGCTGTCTTCCAACTTGTTCGGTTGGTTATTACAGTGGGCACGTGCCTTTTGCGGATGTGGATGGAATAAACGCGGAGAACGGCTTTTTCGCCTGGTCTTCAATTCCTTGTCCGAAAATAAAATCTCAGTTAGCGTATCAATGTTATGCTGGGGAATTACTCTGTTTTGTACGCGTAGATTTGTTTGTAGCATGATTTTTTTTTTTTTTTTTTTTTTTTTTTGAAAAGTCTTAGGCGGTAACTGATAAGATGCTTATCATGATGATCTGCCACACCCAACTTTGGTTCTTCCACCTCTTCTATCTTCTTGATAATTGTCAATTGTCACCAATTTCGCACCGTACAATGATGGCTTCGTTTTGAAATAATCTGACGCGACTGGCTCCAACTCATCAATCCTCCATTGACGTCAAGCGGACCCAGATTCTTCCGCGCGACAACTTCACGACTCACGATTCTACAACAACCAACCTCAATACGATCAAAAAGAAACGACGAAATGTCAATCCACCCAACCCCCACAATCCTAATCCCGCACCTCCCCCCGAAGACCTTCGTCGGCATCGACCTCGTCACCTTCACCTCTACCGCAAACTTCCACGGCATCCGCGACCTCCCGCCAGGCTGGCATTTCTTATACTCGGGTACGACAGAGGCGTTATCATTGCGCAGTGGGGGGTGGTTTTACGTCCAGGACAATGAGGACAATAATCGCGGGGCAGCTGCGACAAGGACAGCGACAGGGACGGGGTCAGGGCCGGAGATATTCATCTGGAAGTGGGACGCGGAGACAGAAACGCTCGTTCCGTTGAAGGGTGATAGTGATGCGGAAAGACAAGAGGCGATGCGCTTCAAGGCGAATCTGGGAATGATCTGGCAGGCGGGAAAGCTGTTTCGGTATCGCAGTCGGGTGACTGCGCAGGGTGTACAGAAGAATCAGGTGGTTGATGAGGAAGATGAGGAGATTGAAGAGGATGGCAGACGGGATTGGAATGGTTTGACGGATAGGTTGTCACAAGATGTTCTGTTGAGGATCGTGGGAGATCCGGAGGTCGATGCTGATGGGCGGCCGAGGTGGATGGTTACGTCTGCTAGTACGGCGAAGATGGATACGGATGATATTCCGGGGTTGGCGAGTGCTGATCCGGATGGGCCGGGTGTTGATGGGACTGGGAGACAAGAAGTTGAATTCTCATTCCTCCCAATCGAGCTGCGAAAAACATGGCGAGAGGGCGCGATTGGTCGAGAACGAACAGAAGCAGCACAAGACAAATCCTGGGCGCTAGGCGATCTAATCAAACAATACACCCCCACCGACTCAACAAACGACAGCGAAGGCGAGACCCAAATCCTCGGCGAACTCCAATTCACCTTCCTCACGGCCCTAACCCTCCTCAACTTCTCCTGCCTACAACAATGGAAACGCCTCCTCGAACTAATCCTAACTTGCCGCGCTGCCATCGCAGAACGAGAACCATTCATGCGTGATGTCCTCCGCCTCTTACTTCTCCAACTCCAACGATGTGACGATCTAGAAGGTGGGTTCTTCGCCATCGACGCAGATGAAGGCGGCGAGTTCCTACGTGGCTGGTTAGTCAGGTTTGTCAGGTCGCTCGAAGAAGTAAGTCTTGTTGGTGCTGGGTCTATTGTCAAAGACGAGTTGGAGAAGCTGGAGGCTTGGGTGAGGAGTGAATATGAATGGGATTTACGTCCTGAGGGTGTTCTTAGACGGGGTATGTTGCAGTTGGAGGATGGGGAGGAGGTGGAGATGGAGATGCCTGATGATGAGGATGAGGAGACGGGGGAGTATGCGCCCACGGTTGTTGAGTTGGGGGGTGGTTTTTAGGCTATGTCCCACCTTTTGTATCTTATGTTATATTCCAATTGTCCATGATTGAAATAATCAAATACAGAGATCATGACTGCGCGTAGTTCTGTCTGCACAGACCAATATAGCCTTGTCAATGTGGAAGCCTGGGTCTCGCAGCTTAACCTTATACGGATCTGACGGTCACAACCGAATACTGGATATACATATCAGCAGATGTGTAAGACGATCCGGCGCTTAATGGGGCTGTTTGTGGCAGTTACGGATAGGGGATTGTTTTCTAGCCTGTTTGATCTTACTATGCTTAACCTGCATGTGAGGGCTTTGGGGTTGTACCAGGCTGGTGAGTGAATTGTGGTTCTCATATGCTCTGCCTGAGTGTCTAATAAATATGTGCCTCATAGACCAAGGGGATCCCATTGGGCAAGGGATATGAGGTCTTTGATGCAGAGCTTCTTGGGGTTGTTCAAGCACTCCAGTTGGCAAGGAAATCAGGAGATCAGGGACCAGTCACTGTCCTGCTGGACTCCCAAGCCGCCATTGCGAGGCTGCGGCATACCCAGCCAGGGCCAGGTCAAGCATTAGCAATCCGAGCACATGCTATAGCCACGAGATTACACACCCAAGGTCGTCAACCCACTATCCAATGGGTTTCGGGGCACGCAGGGGTAGAAGGAAATGAGAGAGCTGACCAGACAGCCAAGCAGGCAGCCAAGCAGGCAGCCAGTAAGCCTCCAGGAAGAGGCCCAAAAGAGATCTCTTTGGCCTTTGCCTGTAGAGCCCGAACAGAAGCCGTTTCAGCACAGAAGCAGAGATGGCTCACTAAGAAGCTCAGTCAGCGATCCCAACAAGGCCAACGAATATACAGACCGCAGAAGAACTGGCAGCTTGACCAAACAGCTGCAGTAGCTCCCAAGCACCTGGCAAGCCGCTATTTTCAACTGAAGTCAGGACACGCAGCCATTGGAATGTATCTACATCAGATTCATGCCCGGGAAGATGCAATCTGTCAGGGATGTGGTTCTCCAAGGGAGACAATACACCATCTTCTCTTTGAATGCCGGAAATGGCGACAGCAACGAAACAAGCTCTACAGGGATCTGGAGGTGGATGGGGTTATGAGACCCACTGCTGCAGAGGAACACCCGCAAGGACGACTTTTAGGAGAGCCCAGAGCTACCAGGGCGGTGCTACAATTCCTAGCCAGTACCAGTATAGCTCTACCGCGAACACACCTGCGAACGGCGGAAAGGGCCCAAAGAGATGACGAATGGGGGCTAGAAGCATTGGAGGAGGCAATTAGAACAGGAGAAGGGTAGCAGGAAGGGTAGCCTAAGCTGAGAGTCAGCCTAGGCCACACCCGTCCTGCTCCGAAACACAATGAGAGCACTGTGCTCGAAAGCCCTGCGCATACAGGCGGTCTGAGGCGAGGGAAAGGATTAGAGCGATTATAGAAGAGGGGGCTACCTCGGGAACTCATAGGGACAAGAGGTTGAAAGTTAGCTACAGCCTCGAGTTCATGGAATACGGTCTGTCATAGCTTTAGGGCTCGATATGGACAATAAACTTGATTAAATAAATAAATATGTGCCTCATATTTCAGCACCAGGTCATTGACGTATGTATATCACACTCCTAAAATCAAAGCAGCAATGCAAACAACTTACAGTGATTTTTGAAATCGGCTTGACCAACATACACACATGGTGGTAATTTTCCAGCCCCGCTGCCATGACCTTAGTGCGGGTTAAACATTGAGGGGACTGTATAAATTTGGGTGCGTATAGTAAAATTGATCATGTATGAAACAATATGTGCTCATAATCATGATCACTGTGTGTCGCTCATGCTGTCAATTAAAACTTACATAAGGCACTATCTTTGGTCTGACTATTGTTGGTACAATTGCCCTCACCTTGTTCCTTCTTCCATTGAGCCTTTTTTTTTTTTTTTTTTTTTCGTCGGGCCTGGTACCGTTATACCTCATTGCTAATCTGATGCATTTTGTTGATCTCACAAGAAACGCTAGTGCTTTAGAAATCAGAGAATATGACAGCATCTCAAATCTCATATCACATCAAGAAAAAGAAATGTCCACCACTGAAACTTATCCTTCGGTCAATGTTGTTTGGTGAACTGATACTGATCTTTATATGTTGACTTCCATATACGCTGAAGGCTGATTGATATGCTCGCTGCTCCGACTGACCAATCAGAGCCCGACCTGCCCGCCAATTTACGACATACTTCCTGCCTATGCCTAATCGTAGGTATCCACAGAGGAATGAGGATATGATAGAGAGATGATAGGACCGGGGACTACGGCTATGCAGTCAGCATCCTTTGACTATGGCCACCGCATACATGCATTATGCACTTTGTACTCCTTTTGTCTCTTTGAACTTCTTTCGCAACGACCTTCCCTTTTGCGCTTAATTGACGGCCGCCAGATTGTGTATAAAAAGGCCGTACGATAGATAGATATCTAGAATCAGAGTTCTTCCTCTATTCACTCTGAATAGTGCCTATGAAATCCTTCCAAGCATAGTAGTTAACATATATCCATTGCCAACCACATACCGAGTCACAACAACGGACATGAAGCAACCGGCAGCACTATGCTGCCGAGGTTACGCGCTTGCAGAAGTAGGGAAGGAAACGAGATAGTATCCAACAAACCCATGGACCTTCGTGGCCATAGGAACAGCAGTATGAAAACAGCAGCACGGAACATACCACATGCAGAATAAGATATCAGGATAGGTATAGAAAGGCGACGATGTACATAGCGACTACCACTACGGCGGCTTACCCGGCCGCCCCGCAGAACCTGCCGCCACTCGGCCTACAGGGCTGACAGATGCGTGTATGAACAACAACAACAACAACAACAACAACAACAACAACAACAACAACAATAATAATATATCCATTGCCTTATTGCGAAGAGCTTCATCGTCATGGGTTCATGTTGTATGAAAGTGTGTGATGTGTACAGCATTGTGGCTTCCTAACCTTCATATCAATATAACTTTCTGGTCGCCCATGAGACTGATAAAAACAAAGCATGTTTTGTCAATATCCACATTCTTCAAGATATAAAGAAAGACTCTGAGGATGAGATATATTTGTCTGGTGAATTTTCTAACATGAACCTATCAAGTGTCATGGAACATGGACACTTGCTAGCTGTATAGCATGTTTGATTACTTTGGCCTGTTTGGCATAGGATATTCACTGAGCATTGCTTAAACTCCTCACACACACTAGATAGCTCGTCGCCGGCAGGACTGCCTCTTTCCTTTCTCTCCTCATGTTAGAATTTCATCAAATAGTCTACCAATAAATTCCTATTGCTCGAGACCGTTACACTGGGCATTACTGGAATTATCCAATGGTTGTATTAATGGTATACGCTTCATTCTTGTAAGAGCTTCGCTTTATGGGTGCGTGGAATACGGCAAATGGCTAAATAGGCGATATGTTGATAAAATTGGTCAACAGGATTTAATGAAATTGGATTTTACAAATACCAGGCTTCAATTTTGATTGCAGTAGATGGCTGAGTAGCAGGACTCACTTAGTTTGCTGCTCACATGACTTTGCCACATTCTTTGGATGTCACGGGCTCGGAATAGAAGATAATAACGAACTGAATTCCTATCTTGACTATTGTAGCCATCAACGAGAATATCGAATCTG